GTCCCACTCCTATTGCCTCTCTTCTTTTTGTCTGATTACTGACCCCTGACACACAAGCTGTATATCTGGGAACCCCACAGTCCCCCTCCCCCATTCTCTGGGGTTGTAGAAACAAGGAAAGTTGCAGCTTCAGGGGGATTCAGGTGTATGAGGGACAGGGTTGGAAATTATTCCCAGTATTTACACCTGCCAGAGAGTTAAGTGTTGCAACTCTTGTTCTGTTCTTCTGCCTATGAGCACCTTCTTGTAGGCCTCTTAATGCTTGCTCCACTTGGAGTGAACTCCAAGTAGTTCACTCCCCAGTGCTCCTCAGCAGGGCTTAGTAGTTTAGGCTTGGCTTCTTGCAGCTTCCTGGTTTAATGTGAGTGTACATCACTGATGGGGAACCAGTGGTTTAACCTGACCACCTGGTTTATTGCAGACCGCTAAGTTTCACTGGGCACCATCTACTGGGCCCAGTGACTTTGGTGTGGGTTGTAAATTTTCTAGTCCAGCAACTACATAACATGGATACAGATTTCTGCCTCATTTCAGATGCAGGATGGAAATGACTGTTAAATGCTTCTTTCTTTCCCATGTTACATTTTACAGTTTTAACTTCTATATCTACCAACAATAGAGCAGTGCCTGACTTGGAGATTTCCTGATTTATTTTTTTTAATATCTTTTTGTCTTTAATCCTGTTGCCTGTTCTTGTTTCATTGACTCTTTTAACTTCTGTAAATTCTGTTAAATCCTAGCTTATTGGCTAACATATTTCTTCCTTTTCCCCATATGTATATGTGTGCATGTGTATGTATACAGAATTTATATACTTTTTATATATTACAGCTTTTATGCACCGTAAGGATGTCCTTAATTCCCAGCTTCTGTGAATACTTTTCACTTTGCATTTCTGATCACATTCAGTTCCACTGACTGTTACTTTTAAGCTTTGGCAAACTGGCCACAGCAAAGCTTCAGCTCTTCATAATATTCTTTAGTCACATACTCTGTTTACACAAAGTAAAACAACCAGAACAACCTACATAGTCACTGATTTTTAGCTCGGTACATAATACTGCTTCATTGTGTTTATAGTTACTGTGTTAGCGGTTGTCATCTATTATTTTAGAAGTCTTATGGGAGGTTTGCGTGAGTCAACCAACAAACGTAGCCCTGGGGGAGTAACTCGGGATAACAATTTTTTGTCCAGTCAGAGACTTAAGGAACATTTCATCCTGTTCTCTGTGTATGCTTGGCGGTATATGATTTCCACTAATACTCTGGGTTTAATTTTACTAGTCAAAGTCCTGTGAGTTGTCTGTTACTCTGTCATCTGTAATGTTGTCTTTGATCTCCCTCCCACTCTTCCTGCTCTCTCTGTAGTGAACAGTTGAAACCTCTAATCTTTTAATGTTCCAATAAGATGTAATGCCACCTTTCACTCATACCAACTGCATTACTTCTCCGGTGTAAAAGGAGATAGACTAAGATGTATGAAGAGAAGTGTAATCTGTCAAGTGTATAAGGCAGTTTGGCATTAGTAAAGTGTTAGATGGGATGTTACGTGCAGTTCTGGGCAAAGCACTGAAGACAGTGAAACAGTAGGAGATAAGAACAGTCAGAATGATCAGAGATTTGGATAAGTGAGGTGGGACACAAATGCTAACAGATGCATAAGAAACAACTGCAGAAAGGAAGGGAAGATCTGATGTTCAACTCCATGGTGGTTAGGACAAGTAGGCTTAGCTGGTAGTAAGAGAGGTACTGCCTGGTCATTAGGAAAAAAATTTCAACTGTTAAGAATCATAAAATAGTTTGGGTTGGAAGGAACCTTTGAAGGTCATCTAGTCCAACCGCCCTGCAATGAGCAGGGATGTCTTCAACTGGATCAGGTTGCTCAGAGCCCCGTCCAACCTGACCTTGAATGTTTCCAGGGATGGGGCATCTACCACCTCTCTGGGCAACCTGTGCCGGTGTTTCATCACCCTCCTTGTAAAAATATTTCTTCCTTATATCTAGTCTGAGTCTACCCTCTTTTAGTTTAAAACCATTACCCCTTGTCCTGTCGCAGCAGGCCTTGCTGAAAGGTCTGTCCCCATCTTTCTTATAAAGCCCTCTTTAAGTATTGAAAGGCTGCAGTAAGGTCTCCTTGGAGCCTTCTCTTCTCCAGGCTGAACAACACCAACTCTCTCAGCCGTTCTTCATAGGAAAGGTGTTCCAGCCCTCTGACCATTTTTGTGGCCCTCCTCTGGACCCGCTCCAGCAGGTCCATGTCTTTCCTGTGCTGAGGGTTCCAGATGTGGATGCAGCACTCCAGGTGGGGTCTCCCCAGAGCAGAGTAGAGGGGCAGAATCACCTCCCTCGACCTGCTGGCCACACTTCTTTTGATGCAGCCCAGGATATGGTTGGCTTTCTGGGCTGTGAGAGCGCATTGTCAGCTCATGTCCAGCTTTCCATCCACCAGTACCCCCACGTCGTTCTCCTCAGGGCTGCTCTCAATCCCTTCATCCTCCAGCCTGTATTGATACTGGGGGTTGCCCCGACCCAGGTGCAGGACCTTGCACTTGGCCTTGTTGAACCTCATGAGTTGATGTCAACCAATTCCTCATCCACCGAACAGTCCGGGTATCAAATCCACATCTCTCCAATTTAGAGAGAAGGATGCTGTGGGGCACCGTGTCAAAGGCCTTACAGAAGTCCAGATAGATGACATCCATAGCTCTTCCCTTGTCCACTAAGGACGAGGTAGCTAAATCTCGTAGCTAAATATCCTTAGCTAAACCTAAGTAGGAATAGTTCATCGTAACAGTGGACCTACTAGTCCTGGAGCATAGTAGGTCCTCCAGGAAACTACACTTTCCTTCAGTACACCCTGCTGCTTTCTGCAGCCCCGGAGGGAGGGATTAAGATTGTCTGACAGGGAGCTTTTACCACCCTAAATGCTTCCCACAACTCCGAAGACTTCCAGAAATGCCAGAATTGTACTGAGGTAGTTGTAGTTAGTGTAGTTTGTGACTGCATCAAGATTATAGTGGAATTTCTCTTACCAAACTTTGAATTGTGTTTCCAAGAACTTCAGTGGGTAATCTTACTAGCATTTGATCCCTTTCAGTATATGATGTATAGTCATGTTAGCATATATGGGCTTAGTGACATTATTTTGAAGACATTGAGGCTCATCTTGTTTGATTTTTCCTCCTTTCTGTTTGTCTGTTATCACTAAGTCATCTCCTCTCGGCTTCATTCTTGAAGTTGGCCCGTTCAGGTTTTTAGTTCAGTAGATTATAGCAATTTAAGAGCACCAGTTGTGAAGATACCATTTTGATTCTGATACTCTGGTAACAGATTTCCAAAAGCAATTATTCCCAAAATAGATGTATATTACAGTCATATTGTGAAACTAGTCATTTCATATAATGAAATGTGTTTTCAATTCTGTTACGAAATGATTGGAAATAGCAGGTGGGTGCAACATATAAACCACAGTAGCAGACACGTGCAGTATTAATAAACACCCACAAATTTCTAGACTTCTTCTATAACGGATCCTAAAAATTCGTAATCACGTGCACGCACCCATGCTCTCCCCTACAGAAATAGGAGCATCCTCAGCCCCTTGCAGCACATGTGGGCTTCAAGCAGCACCCAGTCTTCTGGGAGTGTGGGTGCCCCTAACTGCGTGTCTCCTTTGGGACATGTGGGTGCTTTAGCTTTGCGTGTAACTCTGTTATTCCCTAAAAATCTGTTGTTCCCTACCATCTGCTAACCCACAGGCCATTGAGAATGCTCTCTGCCAGGTCACATGCGCCTGCCCGATCTGTGGGTCCCTGCCTGCTGCACCCCAAACTGCTGTCGCACCAGCTGGGTTGCATCTACTCATGGCCTCCATTAGGCCTGGATGGAGGCGGCAGTGGTGGCAGGGCAATTCCTTACACTGTCAGGCCGGGTTTTGATCATTGCTCTGTTCCACTCCAGCATCTTTTATCCCTGGTACAAATTTTCATGCTGCTTTTATACTTCTGAAGCTGATTCCTTCTTCGTTTCAGAAGTCTCTTTGTGATTCCCCGGTTACCATGTAATCCACCTGAGGATCACCGCCTTTAGCACGATGAGTCTGTTGGGGCAAAGGCTTCTCAGACAGTTGGAGGTGTTGCATTCACACACACTGTTTATGCTCATATTTCTATGACACCAACTGTTGTTATCCAGGCCTTTCTGCAAGGGGTGGGCTATGCAGGCAAGCACCACCACAGGAATTCTTTAGGATGTTGCCTATATATATATACGTGTACACATATACATATATGTGGACCTTGTAAGCATGCCTTCCATCGCAAGTGCCTGAGCTCAAAGTATGTTATGTGTTGTAATATTCTGTTCGCTAACAGAGTACTAGATTAGAGCCTCAGGTAGTTGTATCCCTATTAATATCCTGATCAAAACCAATTTTCTGGGGTACTTAACCAAATAGGTTCTAATCTAATGGGAGAGTCTACTTGTCACAGTCATAATTAAATGCCTAAAGCAGAGTTTCTTTATGTACCTGCTACAGTAATGCCAATCATTTCGGAGAAATTCCTGAGCTTCTATATATTTCATATGAAAACCAAGTCAGCAAGAAGGTATTAAAAGAAATCATGGTACTGGTAATGTAAAAAAAAGTCTGAAACATTGCCATTTAATAAAATGACTGATTCACAATATATGCTTGCCATCTCTTGTGCTCCATAAATGATACAGTCATTTTCATGTAGCCCACTAGGTGGCATTTCTTACTTAGAATTTTGTTTGCACTCAGCCCTGGGCCCTAGGATTGCAGTTTTGTCATGATATTTCTTAGATTTCTGGCTTGACTTCATCTGTAAAAACTAATTAGTACTATTAGATCAGTATAAATATTCTGATATGATAACACTATATGATTTTCTTCTCTTTTATTTGGTCCTATGTGGCAAAGCAGCATTTATATACAGTGGCATTTAAATGGCAGAGGTCTCAAAGTTGTATTTCTACAGGTATCAGACATTCAGGCAAGAACAGCACTGCTTATGTGGTCCCCTCCATCCAGTGATACCAGAGAAGACGCTGACAAGAATGACATACCAGATGCTTATACTTATGAAGTAATGATTTCAAATACCGGAAAAGATGGAAAGTACAAAACTGTATACATGTAGGTGTTCATTATTTTTATTTAATTGCTGTTGCGTTGAATTATGTGGCTTAAAACCTCATTAAAAATCTGCCTGTTTTCCAGAGATTTAAGTGATAAGCAGTTTTGTGCAACTTCTCTTTTGAAACAAACTACTTTTTTCAGTATAATTGGTTCTGTTTTATTATTGAAGTCACTACCATCGGTTAGAATTTAAAGACTTTGCTCCTAGATGTTGGAAGAATGTTTTAATATCACTTAGCTATATTTCAGCCATCTGCACTAGAAACTATAGGTTCTCAATTAGTGAGATATACAAGTAGTGAGAAATACAAACTGTATTTGTAGTTGTTTACTTCAGCACGTGCTTCTGCTCCAAGTAAGGTTATATCTCCCTTCCCTGAAAATCCTCTTCGTAAGAGACAGTCTTAAGATATGAAATAAAGTAAGTAGATTCATACAGAACACAACTCTAGCAGCAGCAAAACAAACAAAACTGTTCAACTGTTTCATTCCTAATACAATAGTTTTCAATCATACTTTTGCAACTTGGAGAAATATAACAGAAAATTTACCATTAAGGGTGTAGAGCTCCCTAATAATTATAAATCTTTGTGTTTAACTAGTTTATCTTAGTCACCTTCCATGGACTTCTTAAAAGCAGTAAGATCCAATCGCAAGTTCAATATCCCTGTCCTGGAAGCTTAGAGGAAAAGAAATGAGCTTTGCTAACGTAAGCTGATGTCAGTAAAAGCAGACTAGTAGATGTCACTGAGGTGTCTTTTCCGTTTACTGTGCTCTAACAAGTAGGTATATGCAGTCATTTACAGTTTTAGATAATCGTTTTTGCAATGCTGAACTGAGCTTCTAAAGGCCCCAGTGTTTTCTGTGTAATAAAACATATACATACACATGCAGCTGATCTTATTCAGTAAAGATAAAATTAATTATTCTTAAAAAAAACCCAAACAAACAGAATAACAACAAAAAAAACCAAAACCACCAGGGCAAAACAACAGGAATCAAATGTGAGAAGCCCCTAAAATTGAAAGATAAATGCATTTTCATTTTACTGTATTTACCAATAGAAAAAAACTGTTAGCAAATATATTTCTTAGAAGGAGCGTCAGCTGGATGGGTTAGATGATGTGTGTCTTTGTATAAATGTATGGGATTCTGAAAGTGTCTCTTAAACCAAATCATATCTCTTTCCAGTGGAGAAGAAAATAAAGTTACTGTAAATGATCTCAGGCCAGCAACTGATTACCATGCAAAGTGAGTATTTCCTTCTCTATTCAATAAATTCAGTGGAAATGTTTTAAAAGTTTCATTGCGTCTGTATATTTGCATAAGTCCTCAGAGATTCTTTGCCACATCTCATCCGCTTTTGAGTCACAGATCAACATTTTTGGCTTAGCTGACCACTCAGTCCATTTTGGAAAACAGAAAATGATTGCACCCTCATCCAACATCCATGCTCTTTACTTCTCACGTCATGCTGGAACAGTGATGTTTTTCAGTCCTTTGAGCCAGGCACAGATGCTGCTTGCTTTCTCTGTTTCCCAGAAACATGCTCACTGCTGGCCACCTGAAGGTCAGGTTATGCTGCTTTTGCTTTTTGTCAGTGAATCTGACCCTGTATGCGTTACTAAATATGCCCCTAGCTCAATGTAATTCTACCCTTTTAGCAGAATTTACTGCTTCACTATGTCCTGCCTTTCTCTGTTTCCCAGAAACATGCTCACTGCTGGCCACCTGAAGGTCAGGTTATGCTGCTTTTGCTTTTTGTCAGTGAATCTGACCCTGTATGCGTTACTAAATATGCCCCTAGCTCAATGTAATTCTACCCTTTTAGCAGAATTTACTGCTTCACTATGTGCTGCTGAAGAAATAGCACAGGATTGGAAAGATGTAGTTCGGTGGTGTTACTCCCTCCTTTTTTACCTATTGGAAGTTTGTCTTATTTCTTGGTTTAAAAAAAAACAGTATGAATACAGCAGTTTATAAATACGTAACATTGTGAAGGCCACCTTAAAAGTACTGCCTTTTCAAGAAGTAATTGCAGGTGGAGAGCGCAACTTTAGAAATGACCGAATGTGCAGCATGTGAGGGATTTGCTTCTATTGACTGTGTGGAGAACTCCAAGACTCCTGTGTACTGACCAGGGAACCAATTTGGAGGCACCTGGTAGGAAGCACAGGGAATAGAAGTGTGTCTGAGTAAGGATCCAAGTCAGAAATGTTGTGCCTCTTTCCATATGAGCTTTAGAACATCAGCAGTAGGGAGGAGGAGGATTTCTGTTGCGTAAGTCTTTTGATTAGCATTTGCTCAAATGGGAGAGCTACATTCCTGGTCCTTGGGGGGGGTGGGGGTGCAGTCTGTACCTCCTAGTACTGTTTTCCAGGGTATTGTCCTGGTTGCCAGACCGGAAGCAAAAGAGGGTTGGTCTGTTCTTCATCACACACCTCATTTAATTTGTGCCACTATATGGCCTGCAGCACAGGTTCAGGAGAAGGATGAATGATTAATTGACTCAAAGCTCTTCATACGCAAGTGTTTTCTCTGTGATTTTGTTCCTGGTTTTAGTAGTGTTTATGCACTTTACCCAATGATGTTTAAATTGAAAATGCATGGAGCATAAGGGTCAGAGCCCAGGAATTTTTTTCCCATGTAAGTCCTTTTTTATCAGGCTACATTCAGATTCTTTCTTGCTTAATTCTGGCTGCTGTAGAGAATGCATGGGAGTAGATGACTCAGCCATCTAAGCTCTTCCTGAGCTAGGAGTTAAATAGAATTCTGCCAGTGCGAACACTGCCCAAAGTCAGTGAAGACCGGAAAGACTGAATTATGAAGATCACTGACAAATTACATTTTTGCAACTGTATGCAAGCACAAACAACTGTGTGCAACATTAGTCACTGTTCAAATGTCTCCCTGTTCATGAAATCTACAAAGCCAAATTTCCTGTGACTTGCTGTTCATGCAACAGGAACATACAAGGACTTCTGCATCTTCATAAGCAGGCAAAACAGGTCTTACACTAGTGATCAGAGGAAAAGTTTTTTGGGGGTTTTGTTTTTTCTTTCAAAGGAGCAGGTGAATGAGAAGAAAGTAATGTGCAGGTTCACCCAAGGAGGAGACAAGGCATAGCTACACAGCAGAGGGGGGTAAAGGGTGAGAGTGTAGGGGGAGGCCAGATAATAATCCTGTATTTAATTTTGGAGAAAAGATATTAGAAAAACAAACCATTTCACTGTGAGACAGAAGCAAGAAGTCACTCTTCTGAAGTACATGGAGAGTCAATTCATAGCCTTCCTAAAGGAAAGGAAAGGGTGAACAGACTCAGCAAGGTCTTGAAGGAGTGCAGAAGGTACTCTGAAAATATATCAACAGCTTCATTGTGCTCATCTGACGAAAGCGCTTGCAGAAGAAGAATTATTCATAATATCAATTCATACATCTACAACAGATAATGAGCCTGCAATATGTTACCATTATTTACCAACCAAAGTACAGCAAATAACAGATTTCAAATGTGATTGTGAGACTAAAGCTGACTGATGGTAATAATGTACATCCAAAGTACAGGACTCTTTTCTTTTGCATTACTTCTGTTGACCAAGGTGCTTCCACCAGTTAGTTATTTATAACAGTGATATTTTAATAATGAAGTAGCAAGGTAGTAACTTAATTCTGAATAGTTTCTTTGGAAACTGTATATACAGATTTTGAAGCAAAATGTTATTGGCTCTTTTCCACTTCAGAGTCCAAGTAGAATGCAACTGTGTAAAGGGGAGCCCTTCAGAAGCAGAGAGTTTTACCACAACGAGTTGTGAACCTGATACTCCAAATCTGCCCAAGATAACTAATCGGACCAAAAATTCTCTTACTCTGCAGTGGAAGGTAAGAATTGTTTAAAAACCTTTAAAATAAATATTTTAAACTCTTCAGAATTGTTTTGGATTTGTCAATAAAATGCCAGTTCATTGAAATGGAAAACTTTTATCAAACATACTAATTTCAGTCACAGTTCTGTGTGGAACTGTGGACTGGAAATACATGTACTGGGTTAAATGTGGACTTCAGTAAAAAGAGAAGGATTCCCAGAAAAGCAAGGAGCCTTTGTAGATGAAGTTACTAAGTTCAAATGAGAGACAGTGGTTCAAGTTCCAGTCCCCTACTGTACTGTGGGACCAATTCCTTTCTCTGTTATTGAACATAGGCTTGTTTGTGCAAAGCAAATGAAGTGGTCTGGAAAGACTGAGATTTGAACAGGCCTGCAATCTAGCTGCTCAGAAAAATACTATAGCATTTTACACTGCTGCCAGAATACTTTTCAAGGTCTAAATTAAAAAACGAAACCATAAACATGATACAAGCATTCATTGGATGGAGACTGAACTAGGACTGTCTTGGCAAGTGAAACAATCATATAAGGGGAGCATCATTTGCCCTCCACTGGTCGTGTCATGATTTGACCTATACAAGCATTTTTTCCTTAAGCGGTCTTGTATCCAGTTAGAGCTCTAATTTTCTTCTTTTCCTGTTGCAGGCATCTTGTGATAATGGTTCTAAAATCCACAGTTACCTTTTAGAATGGGATGAAGTAAGTTATTCTATTTTATTTTTGATTTTGTAGTTTTTTAAAAAGTGGTTCTATGTGACTGTGCACATCAAGTTGTGTGAAAGTTGACTTCTGTCTAGAGGCATGTGACAAATATGTAATTCCTGAAGCAATTATGAAAACGTGATTATTGCCCGAATTTTTTCTTGGGGAATATAAAATAATAGGGTCTTAACTACATGATTCTGCTACTCTTAGTAGTGGCTTTTTCACTTGTAGTCCACTACTGCTTTCAAGAGCTGACACTGAAGGATTGTTTCCCTGTAACAGTCTTTCTTTTTGTACAAAGGGGGTGGATCTACTGTGCCCCCACAAGCCTCTTCTAATCCCTACCTGGACAGCTATCCTGAGATGACAGAGCTGCAAAAGCTTCATGGCTTTTTCCTTCCAACCATGTGGAGCTGGAAAATGGAAAGGAAGGAAAAAAGCCTCTAGTTCAATATATATACAAAGTTCCACTATATGGGAGATTCTTGAGTTATGTTTCATTTCAAAAAATGAGTTTGCTTCACGTTTGTGTGTTACTTTAATTGATGGATGCATATATAATAGGATGAATAATGTGATTAATTTTTTCCTTTTAGGGAAAAGGAAATGGAGAGTTCTGCCAGTGTTATTATGGCCAACAGAAGCAGTATAGGATTACTAAACTATCACCAGCAATGGGGTACACCTTTAGGCTAGCAGCCAAAAATGACATGGGAATGAGGTAAATATTACTATTATAGACATAAATATGGAATGCATATGCATGCATGTGTGTGCTTGTTTAGGTAAAGCATATGATGGCATTTAAAGAAACAAGTCTTTTGTCCAACTGGGATGAAATAGAATATAGAATAGTTCAGCTGGAAGGGACCTACAATGATCATCTAGTCCAACTGCATAGTTAATTCACAGTATGTGATTGGATTATTTCATTTGCGGATTACCTGTGTGCTATGAACGACTTGACCCTGCTTGAGCAGGGGAGGTTGGACAAGATGACCTCCAGAGATCCCTTCCAACCTCAGCTATTCTGTGATTCCCAGCATAATGCATTTTGTCCCAGCATGGTATGGCTGCATACTACAACCACTGTGTTATGTGCATACTTACCATATGAATGCTTCAAATCTTGGCCCCTCTTAGAAGCAGATAGTACAGCTACTTCTGCCAGACTTAGCCTCATTTACTGAACAGCCTGCTCAGACTTCCCCTAGAATGGGGAGCACAGCATGGCACAGACAGCCCAGCTGCTCTCACGTGAAATCAGCTCAGGCTGTGCTGGTTTTTAGCTTCAGTCTTTGTAGACCTACGCTGACCACTGAAGTTGGTACTTTGGACCTGTTTCCTACTGTACGTACTTGTAATAGAGTTTTTGGCTAGGCACTGCGTTGTAGAGACTCACACGTTCAGTGCAATTGTGGCTTTTGTGTCTGACGTAATAAACACTTCTACTAAAATTCTGGGGATCATGCTAAAAGATAAGCAACTCAGCCAAAGGGCCAGAATTGAATAGTTTAAATGCTGCAGTGCTTGTGCTGCTGCTGTGCTGACCAGAGGGTACCTCCTACCATGCTTTCTGCTGCTCTTGGTTCCAGGGAGGTTTGACGTGGTGCTAGATCTAAGGAAGTTCCTGAAGCTGGTGTAGCAATTTTCCAGGGCTTATCAGCCCTCCTTAAATTTAGAGTTTTAGTGATGACAGTATAAAGAGATGTTAGGAACTCTGCTGGAGCAGGAAGGAAGTCTGGCAGAACCTCCGCTGCCACCTGTAGATGTATCTGTATTGTGCTCTTTGCCATGTCCTGTTACTCGGATATGTCCCTTTATCTAAGGTGTCTGTCTGTCTCCTGTTACCCTGGGAAATGGACAGAATATGACAGTACCGTATCACAGAATTCTTTTTAAGTTCTAGAGCTTATTATGAATGCTTAGGATATGTGGTTCTTACTTTTAATTGCTACTTTTCAGAAGTTATAGAGCACCAAACTTTATTTTGAATTTTTGAACAAATGACATCTGACTTCAGTAGAGAATATAAGTAAGAACTTGAAAAAAACCCCGAAAATTACTGGTTTCTCAAGTTACGCTTGCACTACTGAGTGCATTAGTTCTTGGGACTGCTTCTTGGTCTTCAGGCAAAGCAAATAAACCTGGATAATAGTCACACTACCAGGGCTCATCATCTCTAGGGCAGACTGCCAGTGTCCACACTACCTAGTAGCACTTGGGCCTTGAGGTCCTATGTGGCATAAAAGCAGGGCTTCTCTAGCCATCAGCCTAAAATTGCTATTTCGCATTTGTTTTTTTTAATTCAGTGTTTGAAACATCATGAGCGTTGTGCTGCAGCTCACCAGAGTGGTGTTTTTATGGCATGAAATAGAGAATGTGTGTTGTGTGCCCTTCAGCTGGCACAAGGAGGTGCTTGAGGGAACAACGCCTGCTTGGGCAGCGTTGAAGGACAGCGTAAAGGATAGGGAGCCAGGCCTGGCATTGTAATTCATGCTGGGCAGACTATATTAAGTATGTGAAAAATACAGCTGGCTCAGGAGATCTGAGGCGTGTGTTGGGAGGCTTTGGAGAGTACTCAGGGAATGCATTGCATATAGTGCCCGTTTCTGTGTCTTTCCTTAGGCACCTGCTTTGGGCCACTGTCAGAGGACACTATAGTGGGCTAGAATGACTTTTGGTGTGCTTCGACACAGCCTTTATTATGTTACTGCCTTCTGGATGATGTTCCTGGAATGAATTTTTCTCTGAGTTGCTCCTGGACTTTGTCTTGATGAGATTTAGTTGGAACTGCTCAAAAAAATAAAGACGGGGAGTGAGCTGGCAGTTAAGCAGGGTCCAGTGCTCGGGCTGTCTTCCTGTTCCCCTTTTACGTCTGAGTGTAAATGTACCCTCTAGGAATACCTGCACATATTACAGATTCCTGCAGCGTAAGCTGGCGGAAGACACTGATCAGTTAAGTACCCTTCTTAAACTAATCACACCAAATAGATTTTTAAATCAATATTTCATAGCCTTGTAAAGATGCCCTTTATTGTCTTTATGGTATTATTTAATTAAGTCATCTCTTGAAATAATATTTATTAGGGTAGAGTGCCTGATTATTCCTTATGAAGAATGTTGAGAACCTTAGGCATCTGGAGACAGAATTTTGTCTAAGTGATTTTACCAGCAAGAACAGATATTTTATCTTTGGGTTACTCATATTTTTAAATTTAATTCTAACCACACATGAAACAGTAGCTAAAGACAACTGGAAAAATAAAATGTATTTAAAAGATAGATAGCATTAGTGTACTTCTCAGTGAATTGTTTAAGAGTCATTCAAATATGGGTATCACTGGAACTCTTTTAGTTGATTTCAGTGTATTTTGGAGTGGTTCAATCAAGTAAAGAGATTTAAAACTTCTTAAGGTGTGGGTTTTTTTACCTTATATCTGCTTGTAAGGTGACTCCTTCAATAGTTTGTTGTGAATAGAGACAGGCTTAGTATTTGCCTAGCCTTTCTTCATGCTTTCTGTAGCCTACCTATATAATGCTGAAATTTTTTTCAGCAGATATATTGTATGTATCACATCATCTTCATTTCAGAGGTTTTCTTGCTTGTGACTTTTTGCAAGAAAAAAATTACTCTTCCCCCCCAAATTAAAAAAATTTTCTCTTGTTTTGCACTTTTTCAATTCTGGCTTCATGATCTATTTCACAGTCTGCATGTCCGCACAGGCTGTACGTCTGCTTTGGGTACTATCCACGCTCTTGATAATTTGCTTTCTGTAAGATTTTTTTTTTAATGCCAAAAAGACTTTTGAGCAGACCAAAATTTACAACTTGTGCATTATTATAATGTAGGCTGGGTAAGAGAGAAAGTGAAGTTGAGGTATCTTTATAATGAGATTTTTCAGGGAAGTCAGGTTCCAGTACACGAGATGTTTGACTGGTACTGTTGTTCAAGCCATACGGAAAATTTTGTTTTCAGGTCTTCGTGATGCTCACTTAGGTAATGTCTAGCTTTTAGATTAAAATTACATCTTTGACATTAGTTTCATATGGTTAGAAAAACTAGACTATCTCTTAAGCCTGTAAATGTTTCTTCAGATCTGATGCAGAAGCAGCAAATGCCAGCTGAGAACAGGCAGGGTGTTTTTAGTCTAGCTACATACATGTCAGACCATCTGTGCAAGCATAGTACCTGGTTACTGACTTTTGCATCCCTCTGTTTCACAGTAGGTCTTTTATGTAACTTGTATTTTCACTTCAAGGCATATCTGTCATCAGATGAGGTTAACAGTTGTCTTAGAGTCTACACCAGTGAATCTCTTACTTTATTTGTGCCACAATAAGACTTTCATATTGGTAACTCTTAAAGTAACTTAACATTGAATGAGGCTATTATTCTATTATTTTCTGAATCACTAGAGAAACTAGTACTTCACAATATACTTGAAGCACGTAATTGCTGCCTGGGAAGCAAAAATTTTTTTGAGGTCTTCCCACATATACTTTTGTGTCTTGATGTTTTCATTTTGAATAGGAAGGACACTGTGGTATTAGTACATTATTGCATATAGAGCTCTACTGTTTTAGAATAATGACTTAATACAAAAAAGCAAGAAGTTTTGGTTAGCAAAATATTGTAATTATATCATGCAAGGGAATCTTTCAATTATGAACGTGTTAACCTTGTTCAGATGTTTTGTTACTGACACTCATGGGCAAGTTAAGTCATCTGCATGTACCAGCTTGCGATTTCCAGTTGTGCACATGTCCAAGAAACTGTCATAGCTGTGTTTAGTAAGAATTATGTTTTTCTAGATATTAATTATTGTGGCTAGTTAGTTTACATACTGTCTGTTTTAAACAGTGGTTTTAGTGAAGAAGTCCTGTATCATACCTCAGGCACTGCCCCAACCACACCAGCAAGTCCTTTGCTGATTAATGCTGGAGTTACTTGGTTATCCCTTCAGTGGACAAAACCCTCAGGAACACCATCAGATGAAGGAATCTCGTATATATTAGAGATGGAGGATGAGAACTCAGTAAGTTTAGAATACTTATTCTCAATAAGAAAAGAGACTATAATGTGTGTGTTTGATACATTATTGTATTAAGTGCAACAATTATTGCTTTTGCTAGAATATTCTACAAGGAACTGTATCTTCTGAAATAAAGCTAATGACTTGTCATTGCTGTGACCCAGCCACATAGCTTTCTCCTTTTTATTGTGACAGTAATCATTATTAGTGTTATGAAGCCCCAATCCTGCAAAGACTGTTAAATTACTTTTAACTTTGTGAATTTGCATGTGAAAGTTAAGCTTCACAAGAGCTGGATCAAAGTAATTGTATCATGAAGTGTGGTCCCTCTAGATGTCATTTCAGCCTAACCACCTTTGTTTTAAAATGAGTCCTGTTCTACCCTTTGAAAGTGTTAGGTATGATTTCTGTTGACACTGTATATGTTTTTCTTACTGTTCTTTTCTCCTCTTCTGATTGGAGAACAGTTAATTAATTTCCCCCTCTCCAAAAAAATATCTTGTGTTTACACAATGAAGGTGCACTTTTTACTTTGTCACAGGAGCGTAAAAATTATGGTCTGAAACAGTAATTTATTTGTATGAAGTATGTTACATGGTCTGATCTGCAAATACAATGTTTCAAGTAATCCTGTTTAATTCTGCAGGGATATGGTTTCAAGCCAAAATATGATGGTGACGATCTTACCTACACGGTGAAGAATTTGAGGCGTAGTACAAAATATAAATTTAGGGTAAGATTGTTTTCGTATATTTGGGGGGTTTTGTTGTACCAGAGTAGATTGAGATTGACTCAGAAGTGGGGAGGGCATTTTTTTAAGGAAAATCAAATTTAATGCCAGTTTCTTACAATTTCAATCTCCTAAAACTATCAGCTGAACACCTGCTTCATTAATCACCTCTGCAGAAAGAATAAGAACCTCTGCAAGGGTATAACACAGTTGCAGGTATCTTGAAATTCCAGGTCATAGGTCAATATTCTTAACAGCTGGTGTTTTTTATTTGGTTCCTGTGTTGCATATACACAGGTAATATTACTTAGTGTAGCTATGGCATTCTTTGATAGACTCTAAACGCGTCTGAAAGTGTTGGGGTAAGGAGCGACTTTGATCAAAAAAACATTTGTCAGTGCTAGCATAGCACTGAGCCCAAGTTAGTAAATCATTCATATTACCATGGTGCTGAGCCCATTCTAATAAGTCTTGAGGGCTGAACTTGTTAGCTCCGAATGAAGTCTGGCTTAGCAATGGCTTAACAATGAGCTTTTGGGTGTGGTTAAAAGCAAAAAAGAAGCATACCGGCTATGGAAAGGTGGCCAAATAGCCATTGAGGACTACAAGAACCTTGCTAGGACATGCAGAGATGCAGTCAGGAAGGCTGAGGATCAGCTAGAACTGAAATTTGCCAGAGATGTCAAGAACAACAAGAAAGGGTTCTTCAAATACATGAGCTTACTGCAGAAGCACAGGGAAGACATACATAGGCCCACTGCTCAACAGGGCAGGGAAGCAAGTTACTAATAATGCTAATAAGGCATTCTCAATACCTCCTTTGCCTCTGTCTTTAATGGCATAGCTGGACCCCAGGTCACAGGATCAAGTAGCTATGAGAAGGCATGTGTCGACCCACCAGTGGTGCAGGAAGGGCTGGGCTGTGGCCTCTTGCAGGGGCTCAACCCACATCAATCTATGGGTCAGGACAGAATCCACTCCAGGATGTTAAGAGAAATGGCTGACATTGTTGCAAGGCCACTATCTATAATATTTGCAAAGTGATGGAGATCAGGGATATCCCTGACAATTAGAAGAGGGCAAATGTCATGCCCATCTACAAGAAGGGCCCAAAAGAGGACTCAGGAAACTACAGGCCCATTAGTCTTACTTCAGTCCTCAGGCACGTAATGGAACAAGTCTTCCTAGAAACTATTACAAGCCAAATGAAGCAGGTGATTGGGAAAAGCCAACATGGGTTTACCACAGGCAAAGCATGCCTGACTAACCTGATCACCTTCTACAACAAAGTAACACTTTCAGTTGGCCTGGGCAGAGCAGTGGATGTTGTTCACCTGGACTTCAGCAAGGCATTCGACACTGTTTCCTACAGCCTTCTCCTGGACAAAACGGCAAGATACAGACTGGATGGGTGGTCCAAAAGATGAGCAGAAAACTGGCCAACAGGCCACACTCAGAGGGGTGGTGATCAATGGTTTTTACTCAGGCTGGCAGCCTGTCACAAGTAGGATTCCCTAGGGATCGATATGGGGCCCCACACTGTTCATCTTCACAAATGATCTAGACGATGGGATTGAAAGCATCCTTGCCAAGTTGGCTGGTGATACCAAACTGAGTGGTGAGGTGGACACATCAGAAGGGAGAGTCATCTTACACAGAGACCTGGACAGGCTAGAAGGATGGGCTGGCAAGAACAGTATGAAGTTCAACAAGCACAAGTGTGAAGTCCTGCACCTGGGTTGGAATAACCAAGGAGCCCAGTACAGGCTAGGATCTGTGTGGCTGGGGAGCAGCCTTGCTGAAAGGGACCTGGGGGTTCTGGTGGACAACAAGTTGAACATGAGTCAGCAGTGCACCACTGCAGCAACCAAGGCAAATCTGATCCTGGGCTGCATCTGCAGGGGTATTACTAGTAGAGATAAGAGATGTGGTCATCCCACTGTGCCAAGTGCTTGTCAGGCCACACCTGGAATACTGTGTCCAGTTCTGGTCCCCACAATTCAAAAAATGACCCAGATAGACTGCAGAGGGTCCAAAAGACAGCCATAAGGATGATCAAAGGGCTGGAGAACCTGCCCTGTAAGGAAAGACTGAAGGAGTTAGATCTTTTCTCCTTGGAGAAGAGAAGGCTTAAGGGAGGCCAGTTTTCCAGTACTTAAAGGGTGGCTACAAAGAGGAATGAGGCTCCTCTTTCACATGGAGAGGACAAGGGGCAATGGGTACAAGTTGTACCAGGACAGGTCTCATCTTGCTATAAGAAATAAATTCTTTACAGTGAGAACAATCCATCATTGGAACAACCTCCCCAGGGACATGGTGGAGTCCCTGTCACTGGATGCTTTCAAGACACGACTGGACAGGGTGCTAGATGAGCACATCTAGGCTCCCTTTTCCCTGAAAGGTTGGACCAGATGATCTTTCAGGTCCCTTCCAACCTGGGCTGTTCTATGTTCTAAGTTGCATGGTTTTTGGAACAAAGGTAAAGGCATATCCCACAGTATGAGGCAGAGTCAGAATGATCTCATCCCTGTCTACGAGGGAAAAATGTTGACAGCTGTTGTCTTGCATACGCCTAAAATACTATTTCATAAGGAAGAACTGGGAACAGCTGAAGAACAGCATCTCTGTGCAATATGAAAGGTAGCAGTTTAGGGGTCGGTTGGTTTGTTTTGAGTTAACACTAGAACGTATCAGTAGTCCCTTTCAAATGATAGCAGATATTTTGCACTTTTGAGTATGATTACTTTCTTAAGCAGAAAAAGTTATGATAGGGATTACTCTTACAGTATTTCAATTTTTTTACATAACTTAATATTTAAATAACTTAAAATACACAGTGTATTCCAAGGACTGTACCAAGTTAGGGGTGTTATGGCCACACATGAACTTAAACTAAAGAACAGCTAATTACCTTGGAACTAGGTTTTGCAGGACTTGACTGGAGTTTTCCTTTGAAAGTAATCCTACATGGTAATCATACACATTACTAGTAAATATATAGTTAACTTAAATATCCTAAGTTTGTCATTAAAATAAAAAAAAAATCAATGTTTATACCCTGTTTTTCTTAACAAAACAGTAAATAGAAATCTGTTCGCTCATTCACAGGGCATAAAGGAGAAATAAATGTTGTGTTAATCAGGTCTTTAATTTTTATTATACCAGGGAAAGACTTAATTAGTAGTAATATTCCTTAAGGCTTTTGAAAGAAGCTTTATAACCATTGGAAATACGTGAATGCTAATTGTGGCCGTTTAACTTCATTTGTAAGGGCACAAAGACAACCAGAGGATTGTTAATCTTGTAAACTGTATCGGGAGATTTAGTGTCTGAGAGACATGTTAGCTCACATTTCCTTTTCTCAATCTGTATTAACATAACTGCTGTCATTTTGATTGTGCTTGTTTTTAAAACAAATATAAAAGCCAAAAAAACTTTTTTTAGGTTGTTTAGTTTTTTGCTAGGAACAAATGGGAATATGTAGTAAACTAACTGCAGACACAGCTAGAAAGTAAAGAGTAGCAGCAGTTTGTTTTCCTAGAATCACAGAAAACTCTAGATTGGAAGGGACTTCTGGGGATCATCTGGGTCAAACTTATGTAGAAAGTAGGGCCTTAGGTTAAGCTATTCAACCCTGTCCTAGCCCTGTTGAGCTGAGACTTCAGTATTCCCAGCAAGAGAGATTCGACCACTTCTCTGGGCAGCCTGTTCTCATGGTGATGAATTTATTTTCTTATATCCAGCTAGAATTTTCCCTAACACACTTTGTGCCCACTGTCTCTTCTCCTGTCATCACAGATCCTTCTGAAGACAGTATCTTCATCTCTTCTGTGATTACCTTTTAGGTACTGGAAGGCTGTGATTACGTTTCCCCCCCCCCAAAACTTTTTTTTTTTAGGCAGAATAAACCCAAATTCTTCCACCTTTCTTCCTGTGTCAGGTTCTCCAACCCTCTCGTGATCATGCTGACCCTCTTCTGGACTCTCTTCAGTTTCCCAGTGTCTCTTGAACTGGGAGGACCAAAACTGGACACAGTATTCCAGGCGTGGCCTAAAAAGTGCTGAGTAAAGTGGTGTAATCACATCCCTTGTTCTGCTGGCTAAATTCTTGCTGATGCAGCCCATGAAACAATTTGCCTTTGCTGCTGCCAGGATGCTTTGCTGATTCAGTTGGCTTGCTCTCCACCAGAATCTCAAGGTCTTTCTCAGCAGAGCTGAAAAAAGAAAAGCTGACTAGCCAGCCAGACCCCAGACTGCACTGCTGCTGGGTTATTCCATCCCAGGTGCAAGACTTTATATTTATCTTTGTCAAAGCTCATGCAGTTCTTGGTGATGCAGTCTTCCAGCCTATCAAAGTCTGTATGTTGCCTCTTTCTTCCAGCATATCTCTCTCTGCTCCTTGTTTGGTGTCATATGCAAACCTGGGGAGGGTGCATTCACTGCTGTCATCCAGATGACTTCTAAAGATAGTGAATGGTATCTGACATTGTATTGACTGCTGAGGAAATCCACTCATGAGCAGCTGCTAATTTGCCTTCTAACTGTTAAGTACCACCCTTTGAGCCTGGCATTGGATCAGGTTTTGCAAACCCATCTTGTGGTCCATCTGTTCTGTCTATATCTTACCAGCTTGTCTACATGGATGTTGTGGGAGATGATGTCAAACTAAAATCAGGGTAGACGATGTCCACAGCTCTCCCCTCATCTACTGAGCAAGTTGTTTCATCATAGAAGGCACTCAGGGTGGTCGAACATGATTTACCCTTGATAAATCTAATTACCTTCTTGTCCTTCATGTGACTGTAAATGACTTCCATGACAACCTTTTGCCATAATTTTCCCTGGTACTGAAGAGTTTATAGCACCTCTGCTGTTGTTAATACAACTTACCCATATAAACAGTTTTTTATCTCTGGATTTATTTCCTTAAAAGAAGGTACTATAGTAGCATAAGAGCTCCACTTAATTAATCCCAAATATTCAGGTTTCTTTAGCATTTAGTAAAGCATCACTTTTTGCTCTTTACTTAATTACATGAAAATATTTTTACCTCAATGGGAAGGGAATTGCAATTAAAATTTTAATACTTCCAGGTTCCTTCAGTGAAATTTTAAAAGTGGCCTCTCTGCAGTATGTCTTTTTCATCATCTTTTGTTTCCATGCTTTTATAAAGTTTTTTTCTCATGAATATATTTTTTTATCAATAAATTGCACAGCTCCAATAAAAGAGAGTTGTTCTTAGACCTGTCTAATTTCTGAGTATCTTAAATGGTTTAAAAAATAAGTTTTCAGATCCTTGATATGTAATAAAGTGGCTTGTGCTATATTGAGCACCCACAGATTCCATTAATGACACCGAGATTTGCATGTCCTGATTATCTTTTACAGTCAGGCAACTCTTAAGTGTCCTAAGTAGAAGCCTAACTTTATGCACCAACATTTGAAATTTGGGGGATATGGAAGGTTATTTGATTTGTGAAATTTTTTTTTTTCAGCTTCACAATTACTAGGGGATTTTTTTAAGGATTTTTTTTTCTGCTGGCAATTTGCAGGAATTTTTAATTTCAGTATAGTGATTGTCTAACTATGGGACTAATGAAAATGTAAAATGAAGGTATATAATAGCTTTAGTTCTTGTGATAATTTATTATGTAGCTGTCTAAGCATACATATAAATTAATTTGACCTTACCCTTAACAGTGAATAGCATACCACTAGCTGTTGCGTTTGTTCTGTTTATAATATTTTTTCTATATTTGCAGGTCATTGCCTATAACTCAGAAGGGAAAAGCAGTCCAAGTGAGACAGTAGAATACATTACTTGTCCAGACAAGCCTGGAGTACCTTCAAAACCCACAGTGAAAGGAAAAATTCATGCACAGAGTTTTAAAATAATCTGGGGTAAGATTGTTGTCCAGTTCTGTTTAGAGTATGTTCTTTGTATTTTATATATATAAAAAATATTTCTATATATATATATAGCTGTATATAGAAGGCCAGGTTTTACTTGAGTAACACTTCAGTCAACAGAGCCATTATGATCCATTTTCATGGAACTAAGAGAAAAATATTGATTCAAAATACTTAGGGTGGCAGCATAATAGTGTAATTATGTGGGAAGAATAATATACAAATTGTACGAGGGACTTACTGCAGGGGGCTACAACAATTAAAACAGTAATGTTAATTTGTGTACTAAGAAGTTCTGTTTCTGGCACAAAATGTAAATGCCACAGAATTCTGGGTTTTTATCAGAAGAGGAGATCCAAGTTCAACCTATCTCTTCAAAGTGGTTTTGATAGATGTTTTTATTCATTAAGGATCTTGAGAAACTTTTCCTTAGGCTCGGGTTTTTAGCTTTATGCTGTGAAATAGAAGGTGTAACAGTACTATGTGATGCAGTACTTTAGCAGAAAATCAAACAATTAAAGGTTTTATTTATTGCCACAGGTAATTAAACGTCTTACCTATTTCTGTTTAACAGTGTATTTAATTTTTTTGCATTAATAATAATAAAGTTACTTGTAGAGTATAAGTAGTACTCAGCAGGTCCAGTCTTGCATCTTTCCAGAGTCCTTTGCTACATCAGGGCCTAATACTTGATCTTTTATGGATGATAGATAATGTATGAAGTTATTAGAAATACATAATTTGTAAATTGAAAACTATCTAATATATCTATTTATATAGAAAACCTTTAATAGTCATTATTTTTTTAACTCTTTTTTTTAATAAGTGATAATTAATGTGATAATTTTATTTTTCATTTGGAGTAATTTGTTACCTTGCACCCAAAAAAGTGCTATGTGCCATATAATAAGTCTCAGTTTATTTAGCAGGTGTGATAAGATATGTAACCCTTGCCTAAGAGCCAACACCATTTCATCCAGCGCATACATAATGTAATATTATGACAGCAGTACACTTCTGTGTTGAAGTGTCATGCTGTCTTAGTATTTGTCCAAAATGTTGTTTTTCCATATCATTTTAATTCTGCTGTTCTCTGTGTCAGCTCTGAGAAAGACTAGTAGGATTATATGTCAAAGAAAGGTCTGTAGGTTCATATCTTGTACATGAATATTGTACCAGGGAGGATAGTGCATTCCATTTCTAGTGATGTATTACGAATTTAAGAGATGAAATTTTTGGTTTAGAACTCCTGACTTCTATTCTCTCCCCAAATATTTACGTTTTTGAAATCCTGTCCTTAAATAATTTGAAATATTCTTACATGCAAATCAGTATGATAATCTTTTCCTGTCTGAAGTCCAAATTACAGGACCATTAAGATCTATGTCCCTGAAACCATAATCAGGCAGCCTTCCACAGCACTTCAGACGAACTGAAATGTTTGCTGTGGCATCTCCCAGGTGCCTGATTCACTTGTCAGTCTTCATCTATAAAGTATACACTAGGGTTGTCAGCTGGCAGTTTCACGTAGTGGGGAATTTGAGTGATTTGCAGCTGTCCTGAACTAGGATGCTAGGGCTAGCTAGGATGCTGTCTGTCTACATAAGCACCCATCTCCAATCAGCTGTTGATTGTGCCTTTTGTAAATTCTTCCCAAAAGCTACCAAACCATTTAATTTGCCTCGCTTAGTTGGAGTATTGCTGTTTTTTATAGATCCACCAAAAGACAATGGAGGAGCAGCAATAAATACGTATGTTGTGGAAATGTCTGAAGGCTTAAATGGTAAGTATTAGAAGCGTATGTTGGCATTCAGTTGTGTTCTTTTTTCTGCATGTGTGTGCCTGTGGGAAGAGTAAAATGTGTATTATGACAGGGAAAGTTATTGCAAGGGACTGCCAGTAAAAAAATAGGGATGTTGATGCTTGTATACAAGAAGTTGTTTTCCTCTGGCTTAGAAAGAAGATGCCACAAAACTGTGTGTCGGAAGAGATGCCCCGTATTTAAATTATTAATTAGGCGTATTCTGTTTTGGAAATGAAATGACGCTTTTCAGACATTTTAGGGCAAGAAGAAGGGCCCGCATATCTTTGTTGGATGCGTGACAGATGAAAGAAAAACTAGTGCTCCGTTTGTCACTATTAAAGGGGAACAGTGATGCAGTTGGGATAACTCTTTCTGCTATTTGCTTTTCTGTCCTTTCATACAGAAGGGAAATAACAATATTTCTAAACTGGATGTAAAGCTATCCAGCTAAATTATTTAAAAATCTAGACCTCTTAAGTAGCCTTATTAAATTCAGAAACACAGTCACGCTGAGAATGGAAGTTTATGGTTCTCCAGTGCTGTGTCAGATTAAGACAGTGCGCTGTCCCCAGGTTGTAAAGGCAGCCCTCTCAGGGGTCTCAGCTGCGGTTCTTTTGATACTTAGTCTGTTGCTTTCCTTACTCCATCACGTGTCCACACTAAGTCACTTTTGGAATCATTTACCCGAGCCTTTCATGCAGATTTAGTGAGCTGTGCATTACATTTCATTCCCAGTCCTCTAAATTCTATGATGTATTGAGTTGTTGGAGATTTAATTAAAAGTCCCCAGGTTCCCTGCTTAATCTCTTAAAAAGAGAAAGAGAATGCTAAAGAGTTTCTGATTTAAGAATCTGGCTGAATAGCAAAGAATGAAATCAGTATTTCAGATGGTGCTGGGCCATTCAGGAATACAGGAACAAGCTTTATCAACTGTAAACTGGAGTTGCAGTCTGCAAAATGAGTGCTGTAATTAAAAGTTTCTTTTCCATGGAAAATTTTGCTTTTGTATCTTTCCTGTTTATTTGGTTATGATGCTTGAATGTGCTTGCTGGCGCAGTAATAACTACTTCATTAAAAGTAAATTCTTTCCTAGTTAATATGAATACCAAATAAGGAAGATATTTCAGCAGATCTACACAAATTTACCTAGGAAACTATCTTTATGAAATTATTGGATCTTTTTCCAGGAAGTTCAAAGCAAGCCTTAAATTTTTTTTTTATAAATGTCAGGCACACACTTATTTAGGGAAGCTAGGATACCTGCTGTGGCTGGTACTGAAGTGTGGCAAATTACACCTTGGTTCATTGCACACTTATTCCTAACCTTTCAGGAAACAAATGGGACACGATATACAGCGGAGCTGCTAGGGAACATGTGTGTGACCGACTAAATCCTGGCTGTTCCTATCGCTTACGTGTATATTGCGTTGGGGAAGGAGGACAAAGCATGGTAATATGAGCTAATATTTTTATTAAATAAAGTGTCTCTCTCTTTAAGAAAATCTGGTCCAGTAGTTAATAAGCAAATATTGTACAGAAGTGCCTAACAAAATAGCAATAATTAGTACCTCAAAGAAGTTCCACACAGTGGAACAAGTGTTGCAAGTTTCCGCCCATTTCTCAAATAAATGAATGTGAATATTCTTTTCTGATACTGTATTTTTTTTGAAGTGATTTTTCGTATTTACAGAAACAGATACTACGTCTTTTCCTGTGTGATACATTGATAGAATGTCATTTCTTAAGGCCCAACCCAAGACAGCAGTGTAAATTTAATGTTTTCGGTGTGGTCAGTGGAGTTACCCTGTCTGAGCAGCCAAGTCAGCCCAGCAGGCAGGGGAGGACAGAGTGTTTCTTCAGGCTTTACAGGGTTGTGCTCCGGAGTCCCTTCCTGTGGTGTCGCAGCCACAGCCGAAATGTTTACATTGCCCTACTTTTCAGTATTCCCAAACAATTTGGTGTGCCCTACTATGCTCCCTCATACATCCACATCGCATACACACAGACTCACACTGTCACTTCTGTGGTGTAGTTCAGCCTCCAGTGCCAAAATGTCATGCTGTATTCTTCTCCCTTCTTCCCAGCAGCAAGTGTAACAAAGCCAGCCCTGGCTCTCTACAGACTTCCAGCAGGGCTTCGCTGTCAAGCTGATCTCCTGAAAATCTTAAAGCCTTGCCTTTCTGATGTTCGCCATTTCTTCCCCAGCCCCCCTTTACTATATGAAATTCATCTGTTCTTCCTCCACATAGAAGTCTCCTGCAAAGATAGCCTTGTCCACAGCCACCTCGTCTTAAAAATAAATCTGGACTCCTTCAGTGCTGGCTCAGCTGCAATGCTTTTCCTCTCGCCATAGTTCAGCTTGCTGTTGTACAGGGAAGGGGGGAAGGCAGTATACTTCCCAGTCACCTAACCACAAGTGCTTGTATGTCTTTGGAAACTTTTGCTCTGCCAACCTCCTTTCCCCACAGCCCAACCCCATTAGTTTAGAATAAACATTATTTGAGTGCCAAAGAGAAAGTAACTTTCAGAGAGTCTTGATACTTTCTGAAGGTGTCAGAAATCAACAGAAGAATAGTAAAGAAAGATGTAATTAAACTTTTCTGTAGCTCATCGTGGACATATGCCTCCTGAGAAACATTCTGCTTTTTAAGTAACATCAGCTGTTCGGTGCAACAATATATTTCAAAGGAACTGAAAAGCAGCAGAGCTTCCAATCCACTCTTTCTGGAACATATGTAGAAAGCAGTTGTGAAGTGAGACGTTAAGATGCATCTCTCTTGTAAACTAAAAGGCTTGCCAACTTCGTAGTTGTTCTGTATCACACTGAAGCTAATAACCCCGCATTGTCTCTGACTCATTTCTGTCTGCATCCAGAATAGTCAATGCCATCTGCTGCATGTTGTTATACCGTGTATTTTTGCACGCACTTTAAATCAGAGGTAGAAGTTTGTTGCACATTAAGTATTACTAAGCAATGAAAACGTTGAAATCTCAATTTTTTTAGTCTCTTCTGATTGACATTTCTGCCCACTTTGCTTTCTGAGAGATTGTTGCACAGAAAGTATCCAACCCTTAGAGTAAGGTTTTAGACATCATTAAACTGCAGTTTGAGGGATAAGAGAATGAGTTTACATTGAACAAGTCATATTTCAAGCATCTATACTAGGTTTGTACTGATAATTAACCATTGTTTTTAATTCTACCCCTTGCATGTGTACCAAAGCACGAAAGCAAAAGTTAATTTTGCATATTGTGTGATTACTGTAGTGTGTTTTACATAGGTATTTTGAGAAATGCATACCAGATCACTTAAACATATTCATGTATTTGAGGATGTAGTTCAAAAAATGGAAGATCCTGTTTCTGACTCAAGTATTTGCCTTTACTTGTGGCATAACTGATAGGGCTTGTTTTGGCGTAGATGACTTAATTAATCTATCTTTCCTTTGTAGGCATCTGATGCTTTACTGGTGCAGACACCAGCAGTGGTTCCTGGTCCATGCCAGCCTCCAAGGCTACAGGGTAGACCGAGAGCAAGAGAAATTCAGCTGCGCTGGGGTAATTCTATTACAACTATTAGTGAGCGTAAGGGATCCAAATGTGTTATGTGTTAAAATTAAATGAGCTTTTCTTTCTTTCTTATTTTTAGGACCACCTCAGGTAGACGGTGGTTCACCCATTACCTGTTATGGTCTGGAAATGTTTCAGACAGAAACTGATGAACACAGAGAGGTTTACCAAGGCTCTGATGTTGAATGCACAGTAGGCAGCCTTCTTCCAGGGAGGATGTACAACTTCAGACTGCGAGCAGCTAACAAGGCTGGGGTAAGGAGGCAGTCTGAAACGAAATTAGCTCCAGAGACTGCAATCACTGTTAAGGATCTTCTCTTTTAAAAGAAGCATTTAACAGTAATTTTAAAATGAGGATTTCCTAATGCAAAGTCATTTGATTCACATAGCTTATTGTTGTGTGGGAACAGGCAGTTAAACATCAGTTTACAATAAAGGGGGTTTTAGATGAAGGGAAAGGAAAATAGCTAATTATGTCTTATATCTGAATAATAGCATTGGGAAATGGTTAGGAAATGCTTAGTACTTTATTAAAGCATTGTTGCAACTTTAATATTCTCATGTAAAGTAAGGTAGTAAATGATTTTCTGTATACAGCTTTGTAGATTGATTGACCTTCATTTTTACAGCTGTTGGTGTTCTATAACATAATAATTAGTGTTTCCTGACTCTCTTTTTCTTTTTATATTTAGTTTAACTTCTGAGTACATGTGCTATCAGATACAAGAATTATTTTCTCTATTTGGAGTATTAAATGTGTTTAAATCAATTGTTGACGCTGTTTGTGGAGAGGCCTGCAGCTTAAGGCTTTAAAGCACTGACCTAACTTTTTATCCGCCCCCCACAAAGTGTGGTTTATAGCTCAAGCATTTTTTGAATCCTTCATTTCTTTTAGATAGATACAAAGAGGCAGTTGCAAATTGTGTTATTTTACAGTGCAACCACCATGTAACTTCAAAATAAGGATTTGGATAGCACTTTGCTGTTTTGCTTGAGAGTTTGAAGTGTCAAATGTATTCTGATTGCATTGGCTATAGAGGAGTCTTGCAGCTATTCTGGAGAATAATCAGATACTGAAATAAATCCCGAATCCACAGTCCACAAAGATTTATTTTATAAGCAAGTAATACAAAGTTTCAGGCTGCTATTATATGTCCCTACTATGGTAAACTGTTATTTAAAAAGCAGTAATTTTATTTTTACAACGTGGTTGTATCAACTCCCTTTTTAATAGTTTGGACCTTACTCGGAAAAATGTGAAATAACTACAGCACCTGGACCACCAGATCAGTGCAAGCCCCCTCAAGTGGCATGCAGATCCGCTGCGTGTGCTCAGGTGTCGTGGGAGGTAAGAATGCCATGTTGCACTGATCTTAATACGATTGTCTTCTACATTTTTAAGTTCAACTTTAAAAGCTTAAGACTGTATTTTTAATCACATTTTTAAACATACTTATCTGATTATCCAATACTTGGTAGGTAAAACCATAAAGTCATTCATCATACCATTATATGACAGCTGTAAGTTGGCAGCCTGCAGGTACTCGAGATCTTACTTTGTTCTTTTGTTTAAGAGTTTTGCCATAACTGCTGCACTGCATTTCTGAGTGATGCAGGCTCTTCTTAAAATTTTCTTTAATGTAGTTATCTTTCCTCAGAGAGAATATATCCACATAATACAATAGATTACTGTGCATTTGCTGTTTTTATAAGCTGATTTAATTTTATATAATTACATCAGTAAAAATGTAGCAAAAGCCTCACATGCCTCCTATAAACCCATAGTATTTAGATATCTGATTTAAAAAATGCAATAGATAAAAATTAAGCTTGTAAAAAGGAAGATTCTGTCTGGGAATACTGTTTAAACGCAGCTTTTCAGTGGCTTGAGATGGAGTATCTGAGTTACAGAACTGTACAGAAAAAACAGATTAAACAATTTTACTTGGAAGTTAGAGTTCATGCTTCCTACTGGGTATGTCAGAGGAGCTCTCCTTAAATGTCTACAAGGCAAAGCCTTTTGAAGATCTCTTACAATGTTCAGGTAGGATTAATTTGAGCAATGTTAGATGTCTGCTTTATCGACTCACAGAGTAATTAAGGTACAATTGGACCTCTAGATATCATTTAGTTCAACGTTCTGTTCAAAGCAGAGCTAGCTTCAAATTTAGGTCAGGTTTCTCAGGGCCTTGTCCAGTCAAGTTTTGGTTATCTCCAAGGATGAAGGTTCTGCAGCCTGGGTAAAGCTGTCTCTGGGCAAACTCTCTCATGCTGTAGAATATTTTTTTTTCCTTTATGTCTAGTCAAAATATCCTTTAGTGCAAGTCATTACTCTTGCCTCTTGTCTTGCCACTGTGCCACCTCCAAGAAGAATTTGACATCATGTTCTTTGTACCCTCCCAGTAAGTAATTTAAGGCAGCAGTAAGATCTTCCCTTAGCCTTATCATCTTAATATCAAATAAGCCTTACCTTTTTGTTGTGTGTTGCAGTCCCCCTTCATGGCCCTTCACTGGACTTACTCCATTATGTCAATGTCTGTCTTGTATTGGGGAGCCCAAGATGGGGCACAATACTGGAGATGCAGCCTCCCAAGTGCTGAGGGGAATCGTTACTCCGTGTAGCATTCTTGCTGCTCTTTTGCTAATACAGCCAGTATGTAGTTCGCCTTCAGCAGACACACATTGCTGACTCACATTCAACTTTCTCACCAGGACACACAGGTTCTTTTTTGGTGAAGTTGCTCCTCAGCCTGTACTGTTCTATCCCAGGTCCAGAACTTCGTGTTTGCCTTTGTCTTAGTTGAACCTCCTGAAGTTTGTATCAGATCCTGCTTGCTGAAATCCCTCTGGTGGCCATACCCTTCAGCATGTCAAATGCTTCCCCCATCATCCCTGCACTTTTTGGCTTGGATTCTCCTACTTCTGTTAGGGTGAACTCCATTAGATCTCCAGCAACAACATTGAGAAGTGACTTCGCCTTCACTGACAGTTGCACAGCTATCCACAGCTGCATTAGTTCTCTCACCAAAAACATCTCATTGTAAATGAGAGAAGGGAAAGGGAATCCTTATCACTCACAGCTCAGGAGTATCAAATGTTATCCTTTGAAATGCTGTTTGTATTCAGTCACTTACCTTCACATAGCCTAATGCTGAAAGTAGCAAATACTTTTCTTTCAAGAGAAGGGTAAAGAAAAAAACATGCTTTGGAGCAATTATCTGCACCTTGGTGTGATTGCTCTCTTGGAATATTTAATCCAAACAGCAGCAGCGTTTTTCTGAAATCACAATTACTTTGTATAGAGTAGTCTCTGCAACAGTAAATAGTGTTTTTAAAGTATAGGTGACTCAAGGCAGGTAATGCATTCTGATTTATTTGTATTGTACTAAATTAAAAATCAGCAAAGAAACAGGAAGGTAACATTTCTGTGAAAAAAAAACAAAACAATATAGATGTGGTGAGTTTGGCTGATTAATTTTTTTTTTTCGTTTCTAACTATTTATATCCATTTCAAAGGTTCCAGTGAGTAACGGAGCTGACATCACGGAGTATCGACTGGAGTGGGGCGGTGTGGAAGGATGCATGCAGATCTCCTATTGTGGGCCTGGGCTCAACTGTGAAATGAAAGGGCTTTTGCCTGCCACTATATACTATTGCAGGGTTCAGGTAAAGACGTAAAGCTGCTGTTAGTGAAATCTGGAAACCGGAATTGACCCTGCCGTAAAAACATGGTCTACTTTGCATTTGCAGGCAGTGAACGTTGCAGGTGCAGGCCCTTTCAGTGAAGTAGTGGCATGTATGACTCCAGCCTCTGTACCTGCAGTTGTGACTTGTCTTCGGGGACTAAGTGAAGATGAAGTTGAAAATCCACACTATTCTCCTTCCACATGCCTTGCTATTAGCTGGGAAAAACCTTGCGACCATGGATCTGAAATCCTTGGCTACAGCATAGACTTTGGAGATAAGCAGCCAATAACCGTTGGGAAGGTTCTGACCTATTTTATAGATGGCTTACAGCCAGATACTACCTACAGGTATGGCATGCACAGCTGCTTGACAGCCTACTCTTTCTTCCACAAGAGCAGATTCTTTGCTTGTTTGTTTCCTTGTATTTTTTTATTCTGCATTACTCTCAGAGAAGCATTAGTACATAACCATGGAGCAAAAGGAAGCTCTGTAATGATGATCATCATAAATAGATGAGCTGTGCTGCTTTTGTTTTCTTTCAAGAACAATTTGTATTAGTTTGTTTATTGTGGTATTGTTGTATCTGTCTGGTTAATGTGTCAGTTTAACTCAATTCAGATTACAGATGCAGATTCATAACTGTTTTTTGGACTGGTTGCTTCATAGATAGATGGCCTCAAATCCGTTTGACAAGATAAAATCCATCCAAGAAGGGACCATGTCCAGTCTTTTTTGACTGGATTGTCTGATCTAATGACAGCTCATCACAACTTGCAGTGCCTTTTCTGCAGAAATAGCAAGTATTTGAGTGGCAGTCAGCATGAAGAATGTCGGTTTGAAAATCTACGGATCAATTTTAAATCTCTTTTGAAGAATTTTAGTTGCTAAAATAATCCCTTACGTGTGGCCTAAAGGTTACTGAAAAATATAAATGTAAAAATCAATAATTCTGCCTGAAGGCACTCTACATTCCTGTCACAAAAACATGTCCTCGGTGTTAAAGGAGAATGTCCGTCCCGTTGAAGTTAGAATTTAAGCCCACACCGATTTCAGTATAGTTAGGATATCATCTGGCTATGCAGTTTTCTGAATCCTTAAAGATTTCTTCTTACTTTTTTTAATGCTGTATGTAAGACTACAGTGTTTCGGTGTGTCTTGTAAGTATTTAACGATAATGCTGGCATTTGAAGAGCCATTGCTCTCTGTGTCAACAAACTGAAAAAAGAGGTGCTTCTATTGCAGAGATACTTCTGTACTTCTACCCACAAAAGTGCTTTTATAGGATACACTGTCAACTCTTTGTGCAAATAAAAAATTGCATATATTAACCTTATTTCTGTGCTATAACACATTAGCATAATGTTAAATATTACTGTAGTGAAGGAGAAATATTTATTCATCAGCCTGCACACACATTTGTGTTTCAATATTTTGAAATTGTGTGGTTGATTGTTTCGGGATTTAATTATTGTGATTACTTTTCTCCAGTTACCTGGATACTATTTTACACAAGCAAATGCTAGTCTGCAAAATGAGATTAGACACACTCTGCTCTCCATGGCTACCTGTGAGATATGTAAAGAGCCTCAGATTTCTGTTTTCTGCTTTTTCCTTTTTAGACACAAATTTCTTGGCTACTTCTTTTAATTCTTACTTGTAAACCTAATGCCAGCATTGTTTTCCATGGAGTATCCAAAAAAAAATAATTTTTTCCTGAATTTCGAGTTCTACAAAAACCCCTCAGCCATGTGTCCTTTGACGACTTCTAGTTTCCCTCTCTCCCTTTCCAAGCAGACCCGAGATGGCTTGTGTTTGCAGGCACCCAGAGATGTGTTACCAGTGAAAACAGCAAGAGAGGTGCCTGGGCACCATCACTTTATTAATTCACGTGAATCAGATCTGTTCCAAAAAGCCTGTAAGACTTTCCTGTAGTCATCCTTGAACTCACCTGCTATAATAGCCAAAGATATGGATTCACCTCTTTTGGGGGTGGGGTTTTTTTTACCTTCTCTCCCCTCTTCAGTGTGGCTATCAAAAATTTTGGTGCAAGGCCTGCGGGGCCAGGAAGATGGGCCGCTCTTGAAGTAGCTGATAGAGCTTTTGCATCTTTTCACTAACGTGAATGATGCAAATATGCTAACATATTTTTATTTTGAATCAATCCAGCTCCTTAAAATGTGGCAAGGAAAGTGACAGTCCTGCATATTCATGACAGTCTATCACAGCGTAATATTGATAAAGTCTTCGCTGTAGAAAGTACCATCTGTTTGGTACCATTATTCTCTCTTGAATGTGAATGGTGGAAATGACCAGTTATTTTTTCTAATCTAATTTCAAGTTAATTTATCCTCTCTTTTTTTCAAATACTAGAGTACGAATTCAAGCCCTAAACAGTCTCGGAGCGGGTCCTTTCAGCCACACCATAAAACTGAAAACAAAGCCTCTCCCCCCGGATCCCCCTCGCCTGGAATGTGCTGCGTACAGTTCTCAGACTCTCAAGCTGAAGTGGGGAGAGGGAACTGCAAAAGCATTAACTGACTCCATTCAGTACCACCTTCAAATGGAGGATAAGAGCGGAAGGTTGGTTTTGGAATTGCTTTAATCTGCCCTGTATCGCTGTGGTCTGATGCTTGGGAGATGGCAGCAAAGGGCAAAATTCCGTATGCTTTGCTGAATTTACAACAGACGTAGGAGGTCGTCTCATCTGGCAAGGCAAGAAGGGCTCTAGTGTTCCGTGCTGGAAGTACAAGATTAAAAACCTCGCAGTTTTTTATTTACAGTTCAATATGAAGAGTTTAATGAAATGTTTCGTACCAGCCCACTTCTCTCTCTCACATTTGGTTAAGTATTTTGTCAAAGTATCAAGTTTAATCAGTCTTGTGGATTTTATATACTTGATATTGGAAGGGGTGCATTCTTTACTCTTTGTTGTCTTTATATGCAACTATTTTTAGTGGAAAATAAACTCATATAGTACAAATTATTGTTTCAAGGGATCCCTTCTCTCATGTTAAATAGGAATGTAAGCTGAGATGGTGCAGCAAGTACCCTTGCCTAAATGGTAAATACTACACTAGGTACCGTGTCTCAATCTCTGAATAGCTTTAGCTTGACAGTGGGACAAAATAGATCTGCTAGGTGAAATTGCTCTGCTGGAAGGAGGAAAAGAAATTAGACTCTTAACTGGAAATATTCATTGCCATTACCAAAGACTAGGTCATGTGCAGGTACCATCTGTTTTAAATTTAAAAGAAAAAGTCGAAGTAGATGATAACCCCTGCAGAAAGAGGTAAATTCGTGCTGTGTCCTGGTGATACCAAAACTGAAAATCAAATGAGAGCTGCCAGATCAGTCTATGTAAGAATTATAACACGGAGGAGAGTGGCCAGTCTACAGAGCTCTCAGGATGGGACTTGGTGTGCACCACAAGTGCGACTCTGGCCTCCTGTGCAGATCTGAGTGAGCTTCATCAGTCACCCATCTCTGACCATGAGGTACAAGAGCAGTTGGATCCGTGATCCTTTCGTGGGTGTAGTAAGGGAGAGGTGCAAAGGAGCAAAAAGCTAAAGTCTAGTTACCTAATTTTGAAAAGCTAAAGATGTTGGGGGGAGTAGATGGCCAAAAAAACCAAAAAAAGGCAGTGTATGCAGTTCACTGAGAGAGAGAACTGCTATCCTGTCCCACTCTTTAAAGTGCAGAAGGGTTTCTGCAAACACTTAGGATCATTTTTGCCAAGAGGCAATCTGTAGTATTCTTTGTGTAAAAGAGATTTTTATTTCAAAGACATGAGAAATAAAAACTCAGCTGCAGAACACAGTTTAACTGAAATAAATATTTCTGGGCTTCTCACTAGATTCTGGGAAATTATGGGAATAGATTTCAAGACGGTACTGTAGCTACTTTGGAAGTCCTTTTCTGTGTTTAAAATAAGCTACTCTTTCCATTTTCAGGTTTGTATCCTTATACAGAGGACCATGTCATACATACAAAGTACAGAGACTCAGTGAGTCAACATCATACAAATTTTGTATTCAGGCATGTAACGAAGCTGGCGAAGGTCCCCTTTCTCAAGAATATGTTTTCACTACGCCCAAATCTGTTCCAGCTGCCTTGAAAGGTAAAGGTGCTTCTTTTTTCATCTGGGGGGGTTGGGGGATGGCAAGTTGGTTTGGGTGTTGTGTCGTATTTGGGGTATTTAGAATGCTAAGCCCTTTTCCAGGTGCAGGTAGGGATAGCAAGGGAATGCTCCTTTCATGTAATTGCCTAAGGCCTAAAATACTCGCTCCAAAAATGAGAGACTTGGGGCTCATGCATTCTTTGACATAAGAAGGTTTATACTTAGAATCCTTGCTTACCAGGAGAGAGTGACCAGACTGTTACAGTAACTCAAGGTGAAAATTCTACCTAGCATGTTTAGAATAATTATAAGCATAGCAGCTTTTTTTTTTTTTTTTTTTTTTTAATACGATGCACGCTTGCAGTCACCAAATTTTACTTGCTTGCTCTCGGACGATACCTAAACTAGCAGTAGAGACCTATGCGAATTGTTAGTTGTTGTTCCAGAAAACATTGCAGGAAGAATACATTTGAATCTGAATCTTTTGTTTCTCTGAGACGCAATAGCAGATAGAATACAGGATTTTACAAGTCGTTGGAATGTAACGTGAAGTGCTGGGGAAAGCAGAGCTAGCTGTCATTTTTGGGTGTTCTTCCTGCAGCACCGAGGATAGAGAGAATCAACGATCACACCTGTGAGATCGCGTGGGAGGTCCTGCCGCCCATGAAGGGCGATCCCGTTATCTACTGTCTTCAGGTCATGGTGGGAAAAGACTCGGAATTCAAACAGGTATGATGTGTTTAAGTTATTGTATTTTTCTTCTATTAGTATCTGTGATAACTAGTTTAGATTAAAGACTCTTGTGTTCCAGTATGTTTTTAGTCACCATGTTAACTTTTTGTTACTAAATAATATAAGGTAATATCTCCTAAAAGCATTGTCATAGAGAAAAGAGATTTAAGTAATATAAATACTGCAGTAAGTCGCAGCCTCTCTGGGTTACACTGATATTTACTAAATACAACTTGACACCTCAAGTCGTGAGGAAATTGTCCACTAATGGGAAGAACTGACAAAAAGAAAATACCCACGCAAGGCTACAGAATTGAGACTTATGAGAAAAAGAACAAAGGGTTCTCTTTGCTCTAAGAGCAGTTTGAAGGTGCTGGAGCCTGTCCAAAGAAGGCCAACAAAGCTGGTGAAGGGTCTGGAGCACAAGTCTTCTGAGGAGCAGCTGAGGGAGCTGGGGTTGTTTAGTCTGGAGAAGAGGAGGCTGAGGGGAGACCTTAATGCTCTCTACAACTACCTGAAAGGAGGTTGTAGCGAGGTGGGGGTCGGTCTCTTCTCCCAAGTAACAAGCGATAGGACGAGAGGAAATGGCCTCAAGCTGTGCCAGGGGAAGTTTAGCTTGGATGTTAGGAAAAACTTCTTCACCGAAAGGGTGGCCAGGCACTGGAACAGGCTGCCCAGGGAAGTGGTTGAGTCCTCATCCCTGGAGGTATTTAAAAGGCGGGTAGACGTGGTGCTCGAGGACATGGTTTAGTGGTGGACTTGGCAGTGCTAGGTTAACGGTTGGACTCGATGATCTTAAGGGTCTGAGTCCTCATCCCTGGATGTATTTAAAAGGCGGGTAGACGTGGTGCTCGAGGACATGGTTTAGTGGTGGACTTGGCAGTGCTATGTTAACGGTTGGACTCGATGATCTTAAGGGTCTTTTCCAACCTTAACGATTCTATGATTCTATGAAGAGCTTTGATGTTGTCAAAGTCATACTTCTGTACAGGGAACTGCAGATGGGAAAGACCCCCAGCTTGTGCAATGTAGACATTCAGGTGCAGTGAAACTTTTCTAACATAATTCAGTGATGAGTTTTCTACCATAGGGCCATTTCAGTAGTAGGGCATGCTGTAACTACAAGGGTCAAGCAGTTGAGAGTGCGTTTTAATTTCAGGTTTGATGATCCAAAGACGCAGTTCGAAACGCTAAGCTACAAATTAGTCTGCATTTAAAAGAGGATGCGCAGTGCGAATTTCGCTTCCCTATAAACTGCCTGATAATTGACATGAAATTAGGCTTGGAAACTGTTTCACACTATTAAGCAAGCAGGTTTCCTTCCAGAAACACAATTAATTCTGGTATATTATAATTTTATTATAGGTCAATATTAAGTAAGCTTTGCCTGTGCTTTGGTAGATTATAGGCCTTAAGATTTTCATAATTCATAACTTTTAGTGTAGTGCTATGTTTGTTATGTTATGAACCATAATCCAAGGTGTTTGTTATCTTGCCATGTGAATATTCTTTACTGTAGCTTTAAAATTGTAAATGCAACCTTAAGTCTGTAAGTAAGGTGTGGTCAGTGTTGCTTGTCAAAGAAGTCAAGTCACGCTTTGATTAGCAATGTGCATTGCCAAATGAGCTGGACAAGAAAATAAAGGTTATGCTTTAAGCCTGGAAATAACAAAGTAGACTGAGGGGCATGATTCCTTTTGCCTCTCCAGAACAGTTTAGCGCAGTAAATTAAAATAAAATGAGAAGACTAGTTTGCAAAAATTAAAATTGGAACAGTCAAGAAGTAAACACGGTGGAAACGGCCTTTAAAATACTTACACGTGATGGTGACAATTTTCTTTGACATGGACAAAAAATAAACTGCCCGGGAGTCAGCTCCAAGCTGTTCGCTACCATTTCCCTGCCAAAACTTCACTCTCCTCTCCTCCTTCTCCCCGATCCGTTGGCCGAGTTGCTCATGTCGTTGCTCCCTACATGCTTCAGACAAAATAAGTTAGTAGCCTGCTGTTCGAGCTGCGTACATCAGTGAAGCTCTTAAAGGGCTTAGGAAGCAACCGTAGAAATACCTCCACCATTCGAGGGGAAGGCAACTTCTGGCAGGGCACCGGGGACCCTGTCCTCAGCTGCTGCTGGGGACAGTAACCCGTGTCAGCTGGTTGTGGGAACAATTCCTTGGGAGAAAGAACAGTCTCTAGGTTGTAGACTCCAGTAGAGCTCAGCTGCTTTAACTGTCAGAGGACTTTCTAAGTCTGTGAGTAGCCACAGGCACAGCAACAGCTCTTCAGACAACAAAATGGGAAGAGATGTCTTGCTTCTTTCATTGGAAGGTTGGTAGTTTGCGTTTGTGAAATACTGTCTAACAGTGTGATAACTGCAGAGAAAACTTCCGCATGATGTGATATTTCTGTATCCTGCTACGGGGGGCTGAGTGAAAGAGTTTAAAGAGAGAAGTCAAATTGTACTATGCTGCCCCCCCAATAGCTCAGTACCCATTGCTACACCTGTGAACAGAAAATTGAGCCCACATGGGATTTCGTTGACTTTTACAGGACCTTTACGTAGCTCCAAATTAATTAATTTGAGAAAGCAGCATTTAGATTTCACTGAATTAGGTGCTCCATGCTGGAGGGTTGCGAACTCACGTTAAGCAGCCACCTGAGAGACCCCTGGATAAGTCATCTGTGCCCTGGGGTCTCGTGAAATTCAGAATCACGGAGAGGACTCCTTGCGGCTTTCCTGATACAACGTTTATTGGGATAAATTATAATATTTTAAACACCTGCTATCTTAACTACAACAAAGTATGTTGGATTGGATTAGACTTAATGAAGTAGCTTGATACAGAGTTAATTACCGAAAATCCTGTGATACGATATTGTATATTACACCCCCTGGTGTAGTAGTTACGTTGTAAGTGGTCACTAAAACACCTTAACACTGGGGCTTCTGACAGAGCTTATTTGGCGCGTGCTCATCATGCCGTAAAAGCGCTTGGAGTTCTTTCCCTGTGTTTCACCAAAAGGACTGAAGACATTACATGCCGTTTAAATTGCCTTTGTGAGCTTTGCGTCCATTTTTCTCTGCATGGGGTGAAAACACTAGCGAGGGGTCGTCCTTTTTACAGGTACCTTCACCATGAACAGAATTCTAGAGACACACGTTTTTGTTTGACGTGTTGTTTTTTTTCTTTATTGCCAGATTTATAAGGGTCCGGACTGGTCATTCCGATACACAGGCCTCCAGCTGAACTGTGAGTACCGTTTCCGCGCGTGTGCCATTCGCCAGTGCCAAGAGACAGCAGGTCACCAGGACCTGATCGGCCCCTACAGCGCCCCAGTGCTATTCATCTCTCAGAGGACTGAACCGCCGGCCGGCGCCGCCAAGGACACTGTGCAAACCGCAAGGACACAATGGTCCCAGAGCGACCAAGTGTGTGCTGCTGTCATCCTTGCACTTTTTGCTATCTTTTCCATTCTGATTGCTGTTATCATTCAGTACTTCGTAATAAAGTGAAGAAAAGAGAGTTATTTTAGAACGCTGCCCATTACATTTTACTTTCTCATAATCTAAAAGTAATTCTGTTCTCTTGCTTTTACAAAAACAGGCATTTAGCACCAGGCGTTGGGACTGATGCAAACCTTTTCAGCCACTTTAAAATGCTTACTGGTAGGTGTAGGCTGACACACGTCATTAGAACGCAAGCCACAGAAATACAATCTTTTCTTTAATATGCCTTCTTGCAGTACAAACTCTGTATGGGGCAGGCAAGCAGTGTTTAAGGAAAAGGGTTTGACCAGTACAGACGAGTGTAAAAATGGTTTCCTGGCCCACGCTTTTAAGGGTTGCTACCGTAACAGGGAAGAATGTGTAGATCGCATTTAAAACTTACACTAACAAACTTGTGCTGTATACAATATTAATCTGATGCTGTGAAAGCAATTTAGCGCTGTATTTCTACCTCCTCATTTGTCTTAATTATTTGGGAAGCAGGATTTATGCTGAAAAACAGAAGGGGCTTTTCTCAGGCAGCAAATAATAAACTGGATGGAAGAGTATGCATGAAGGAAGCTTCTTACCTGATAAATGTGGAGTTCTTCACTGCAAGTAGATGTTTTCGAAAGGCCACAAGGGGATGGCACAAGTGGTTTATCTTACCCCCAGGATTTGACGTTTACTTACAAAAACGCCTCTTTTACTTCTTACGAATATAGAAGGGAGAGTGGGAGAGAACTTCTTAGACTCATTATTCAAATTGAAAAACACATTTCCCAAGTCGACCTTTGATTGGATGCAGTTTATACAGATGTCTCTGCCCTCTGATTTTGGCTAGTTAATAGATTTTTGAGATAACAATTCATGAATTTTTGCTGTTTCCCCAACATTCACTTGCCATATCCACCCGAATCAAGCACTGCCTTTTTTTTTGTTTGTTTGTTTTCTTCCTGTCTTTTCTTTCTTTCTTTGGGGCACCAAATCGAAGACGAAGTGTAGTAATTTGCACCAGAAAACTTAAAGCTGCTTTTTTCTTGAGATCCTAATGTTTAATGTAATGTCTCTTTGGATACTGTACCAAATTGTTGATTGCATGTAGTTAATGTTGCATTAGAGCACTTTGCGATTGCATAACTCATCAATGTTTTGTGAGCTTGCATTTGTGAGTTCTTGAATGACCAGACTGAATTTTATCAAGTATCCCATTGAACATCTTGCTAGATGTCAATGATTGCCGGTGACACACAGCTTGTAGTGAAACTATCTTTAAAAAAAAAAAAAAAAAAAAAGAAAAAAATCCTTGTCTCATCACACTTAACGTTATTTGTTATACACTTTGTAATTAGCTATTTTTAATTTATTTGCGTTACAAGATAGTGGATCATTAACGACTTCTAGTTGTGTTCAGTTTAGCATTTTTAATGGTATTAAACACTTCTGTCGGTCTTAATAATAATAAAAAAAGGAACCTCTGTCTTGTGCTTTGAAGATCTCTGAAGAATTTCTCTTATATTAGAACGGGCATGTATTGTAATTGTTTATACGTCCAATGATCTGTGCTGTAGAATAACGTTGCTGAGTTTCGTTTTCTTTTTAAAAAAAAAAAAAAAAAGAAATGGCGAAGAACTTGGCCTCCACGTGGCGAGAATGATCTGTCTTTAAAAACGTACTGTATGTTTACATTTTATTTCCAATTTGTCATTTGTACGTATAGGCTGATACCTTCCCGCAGGATACCACGATAACTGATGTTTTCTAGAACCTTCTTAAAAGTGCCGTGTTTGGCAGTGCAAATGAGGTTGCGTGTAACAGCCCAGAGATTTCTTAGGGTTGAATGTCTAAAGCGGTGAGATTTGTTACTACAGTTAATCTGCAGTGACTTATGTTTTTCATAGTAAAAATCAAATGAGCTCCTATTTTTGATAGTCATTTAATAGTGTATTTGCCATTTGAGCCTCAGTGCATATTACTGCATTGAAGACAGTTTTTAATGTAATCTTAATTTTACCTCATATACTGTACATTCCAAAAATAGATAAAAAAAACTCTAAACTTTTTAAAACGTTATAGATACACTACCAAACATATCACTTTACAATTGTACAACGTCGGGCTCCATGAAGACGAACCTGTATAGTCTGATAGAAAATTACATAAACTATGTAGCAAAGTATCTTTAAAAATCTGTGGAAAAAATAAAAGTATCATTCTTTTTTGTTGTCGTTGGTCCGTCCCGTTTGCATGTAACACTGCTCCCGAGCCGCGGGCCCTTCCCGCAGGCGGTGGCACCTGAGGGGTGGCCGGGAGCTGGGCAGCACCCCTGGAGGAGCGACGCTGCCCCCGGCAGCGGCGGAGGGGGCTGAGGCGGCCGCATCCCCCAGCGGCATCTGGGGCGGCGGCGGGAAGGGCAGCGAGGGCGAGCCCTGGCCGTGGCCGCCGTGCAACGAGCGGCTGTGGTTGGCACTGCTGGTGCGGGCACTCGGCCCTGTCATGGCCGTCTGCCTGGGGCTCCTCGTGGTCGGCTGCATCCTGAGACCTCTACCGCCTCTGGCGCTCCTGGCCCTGGATTTCCCTTCAGGCAGCTGCTGTGCTGCCTCTGCCACCGCCTCAGCGAGGGCTGCGCCTACTGCGCCATCCTCCACGTCACCGCCCCCACCGTGGAGCGCTGCCTCGCCATCTACTTCCCCCTCAAGGCCACGGTGGTTGTCACCAAGTGCCGGGTGAGGGCTGTCATCAGCGTCCTCTGGGCCTTCGCCTTCCTCTCCGCCAGCCCGTTCTTCTTCCTGGTCGGTGCGGAGCAGCCTGACAACCACACCGACTTCAGCCGCGAGTGCAAGCCTGCCCCGCGGCCATGGAGTCCGGCCTGCTGGCCACCATGTTCTGGGTCAGCACCTCCTACTTCGTCCTGCCTGTCATCTGCCTCAACGTCCTCTGTGGCTCCATCAGCCAGGAGCCGTGGGGAGCAACGCCTGCCCGCGGGCCCCCGATGTGGTCCTCCAGGAGAAGGGGCACCGCCAGACCGTCAAGATCTCGGGTGAGTCCCTCCTCCATCCCCCCAGGGCTGTGGGCCATGGCTGGGGCGAGGAGCGGGGCTGCAGCCTCCGCAGCTCCGGCGCAGGGTAGGGATGGCGCAGGGGAACACCCCAGCCACACCGCCGAGCCCTGCGGCACTCCTGGGGACTGCTGCGGTGGGGATTTCTCTCCCTCGCAGCTGAGGCTTCACCTACCATGGTGTAGCGCTGCCCATCCAGCAGCCTGACTGCCTTCTGTAGATATACCCTTTTTCTGAATTTTACCAGGGAGAACCAAGTACAAGGTAGTCTGCGACCTCAGAATAACTGTGGTAACGTCAGTAGTCTCTTCCAGTGGGCAGCAACACCTCTGGGTAGTAAAATTCTGCTTCTGAAAGATAAGTTTGATTTTCTTAGTGGTCTTTCATAGTTCTCCTAGGAGTAAACCCAAGGGCAACCCCAAGCAGGCTGAAAAACAGCAGCTTAACCCTTACGAGCCGCTTGCAGACAAATCATAGAATCATTAAGGTTGGAAAAGACCCTTAAGCTCATCGAGTCCAACCGTTAACCCAGCACTGCCAAGTCCACCACTAAACCATGTCCCTAAGCACCACGTCCACCCGTCTTTTAAATACCTCCAGGGATGGAGACTCAACCACTTCCCTGGGCAGCCTGTTCCAGTGCCTGACTGCCCTTTCAGTGAAGGAGTTTTTCCTAATAGCCAACCTAAACTTCCCCTGGCACACTGTTAATTTTTAGTTCATTTTTCTCAGTCATACGTTCGTTACCCAGACCGCAGTCCGCCCTGGGGCTTTACAGTTTGTAAACAGTGACTGATCTGAAGGGGAAAAAAAAAAAAAAAAAAGGAAAGAAAAAAGAAATCCAACTATTGATTAATGAGCATAAAACAAAATGTCCTGGTTATTTTTTTTTTTTCTGCCTTTAGTGAAGGTTTTACATGCTACACGAGAGACTTCTTTTACCAGGGATGTAATCAGCAGGATGGAAATAGCATAGCACAAACAAAAGAAACTAATAAGCCCAAGAGAGTACCTTTCACTAACTTCTTTGAGGAAGGTATTTACATTGGCGTAGGCACAAGGTTTACCAACAGAAACACCTATGTCCGTGATCTCCTCAGAATCCACGGGACCAGACCAATTCCCCCCTCATCTCCAAGAGCCAGCAGCACTACGCGTGTGATGTATTTCAGGCGTAAACTTGCTTTGGCTATATCCCTTTTTTTTTTTTTTAAAGCTCTGAGAAGCACCAAGGATGCTCCATAAATGATTGTTTGTTTTACTTATGTGCACTTATAAACAAAAATAATTAAAAATATGAATACAGTAATACGTTTATGTAATTGTTCCTCATCTGCTCCTCCTATGTTGCTATTGCAAGAGTGTTTGTATTTGTTTGTAGTGTGCTAAAACACCACACCAGACCAGGAGAAGAGCTGGAGTGACTCAGGCTAGAGATCCATCTAGTCAAATATCTGTTTCCAGCAGTAGTTGTGTTGGGATACCTGTAGGAGCTTCAGTGGAAAAAAAAAATCAATAGACCAACTACACTGTAAGCCTTTAAGTTAGCAACCATCCCATTACAACAGCGCAAATTCAGTGGGAGCTTGGGCGGCCGAGGTTCAGCCCTTACGCTACGGGCTTTTCCAGTACTGTAGACATACTGAAGGACAGCTCTGTAGCGAACGGAGCTGCTGTGCGCTTCTGCAAAACCACCTCTTCTGATTCTGAATTTCGTTTTCATATCACACGCGTGGCATCACAGACGTTGCCAAGGAGAATCTTTTTTGTGCTTGATGTTATTATACCACGGTTAGTTGTTTACATTTTTTCTCAGCAAACTCATCTCATGGTTTAGCTGAAGATTTTACCAGTTACCTTTTAATCCAAAGACTAACAGTCAGACTTGATGCTATTCCCATTTTCATGGTTTTCCAAAAATTTAATGCCATCATTTCTATATATCACTTGCAGTGGTTAGAAGAACCTGCAAAATCAGCCATGTAAAATTTAGTTTACTGGATGGTTGAGAAGTTAACTTGCTCCTTAACTACCGCATGTGTTATTTTGTCTTAGAGCTGTGGTGGTTCTGGCCTTTGTAATTTGCTGGTTGCCTTTCCACATTGGCAGGATCACATTTATAAACACCCAGGACACCCGATGACGCTGTTCTCCCAGTACTTTAATATATTCGCTCTGTGTCTTTTCTACCTGAGCGCATCCCTCAACCCTATCCTCTACAACCTCATTTCGAAGAAGAACAGGGCGGCAGCCTACAAGCTGCTGTTGCCACACCGAGCTGCGGAAAGGGCTTTCACCGTAACGAAAGACGCTGGCGGCTACGCAGAGACCAGTGCTAGGACAAGAAACGAGTACGCCACCAGCTTCTGAGGCTGCAGCCTGCACTTTTCCAGGCGTTCTCTGCAAAGGAAGGGAACTCCCGTTTCATGGGAGAGTGGCAAAAGGATGGGCATTTGTCAGGCTGCATGGTGTTTTGTAACCGTTCGTATTTTGAAATACTTGTGTGTTTGTTAACAGAGCAAGCAGGGACCATAAAGTAGTGAGCATGATGTGCAACTTGTGAAAGTTAACTCAACAGGAAAAGATGGAGTAAATTGCCAGTGAAACTGTGATTTCATTTTATTACATGTTGTTCATTGCATGTGTTTTGTGCAGTTTCTAGTATTTTCTAAAAATCATAACATCAAAGACCACAAAGGAGGAGGGAGTTTGAGGTAGCAGCTCCGCTTGGGTGCAGTAATGGGTATAAGTCCCAGACAGCCTTTGCCGTTTTAAAATGGTTTTCTTATAAATGAGATTTTACGAAACAGTCTTGCAAGGAGATGGACGCAAAAGAAATCACCCCCCACCCTAAACATCCTTGGAAGAAGGGGACAAAGTACCTGGTCTTGTAATCATGAAGGGAGTTTCCCCAGACGGTTTCACTGACTCTTCCCTTGAAAGAGTCTCCTCTGCTCAGCAGCCTCTGGGCTTAACCCTTTTGGTCTGACCCATGCGATCAAATAAGGTCTCTTATTTATATACCAGTAACCAATCCCCTGTGTCTGTAAGAGCTCAGATATCCCTGATCGCTTCCTCACGATAGACCCATAGCGTTTGGGTAACATTAGCAGTATGTGTCCACTGCGTCACATTATGTACTACGTGTGCAAATAACACACCGAATTAACCCGTCTCGCCACAGACGAGACCCATCACCCAACATGCTGGACTGCGCCCAGGACTTACTGCTACGCAACGCTGCACTGCAAGTCAAAAACGAACTCACGAATTTTGCTCCAAAGATTTTAAATACAAACTTAAACTATACGATTTAGTACGAACTCCATGTTCAGGTGCAGCCAGACTATCTTTAAAAGAAGTATTTCAGAAGTAGTTTCTGTACAGGCTATAAAATAGAAGGGAAAATGGACTAGAGGTGCAGGGCAACTTTGCCAGGCAGAGAGAAGGAAATGATGGTGATATTGATAATTTTTAAAAGAGAGAGAAAATGATGGGATGTAAAAGAAAAGCACAAAGAAGGGATGGTAAAAAAAAAAAAAAAGCATGTCGAGGTACTCTGTGTCTTAAGAGAAAACTGAGTTACGGTGAAATGCACAGGAAGGAAAATCGGTGGTTTGGCACAGCCCACGACTGACCCTGGACACTTGTTAGAGCATGACTGTACATTGAACCAAAATTAAACACCTGAAGTTTGAAAGGGATCTAAACCCGTTCATTCTTAAACATGTGAACAGGTCTTTCTGAACAGAGTGGAAAGACAGTCCTCCCACGGACCGTAGCCTAAAGCCACAGCTCGGCCTCTCCCACTCAGGGACCTGCAGCCTCGGGCAATGCTCACTGACCGCCTGCCCCACACTTGAGGAGCTGCCAGGCGCCCACCGCTGACTGCCAAACATCACAATATAAAAAAAAAAAAAAAAAAAAAAAAAGGAAAAAAAAATATCTGGTAGCTCAAGGGCAAGTTGAGAAAAGACACCCAGAAAATCCATGGAAACCCTTCTCTGGGAGGGAGGCTACATCTGCGAAATCTTACTAGCTTGATGCAGGCACATAAAGCTTGTGAAAGCTTTACAGTCTAAACAGCTGTGACAGAGAAAGAAGAGTGATGGTCTCTAATGAGCAGCTTGTTAGTACGAGATCTACCTGTGGTTGGTTGTGCATCCAGCCTCCCGCAAGCCCGCTCTGAAGGCAGCTGGGACTGCTTAATAAATTTATTGATACCTGCTTTTAAGTCTGTAGTTTGTCACAGCAGGTAGGCTGTCCCTTTAGGCAGGCATAAACAAAGCTGCTGAAGTTATTGGGAAAATGTTTGCATATTCTGTTAACTTCAGTTAACTATTCCCGCTGATAAGACCCAGGTTCATTCTAACTATAGTCAAGTTTTCTCATACTTACGATCCCGGTGTATCAGAAACAGGGAAAGCAGCAGCCACTGCAATGGGTACTGCTGGGGAAAGCGCCAGAAAGTCACTCCCTGCCACTCTTCCTATTTTCTAATTTCCATATTCATTAAACAGCAATACATGGTATATACAACTCCACAATAAATTAGGGGTATGATATTCCCTGGCTCTAACATAACCTCACTTGCAACGTGATAACACCATGTCACCATTTCACTTAATATGACTCTAAATTAAATATGTATTAGACTATTTAAATTAGACAATTGCTGTTAGATATCTATTCTAAAAATGGAATTTGTATTTTAAAAATAAACATGGAAAACTAGTTGCTGCTTACTGTAAGAACCAATATTTCTCCTCTCTCTTTAATCAGATAGCCCGATCTGCATGTGTTGATGCTCATAAGGGAGTCAAAGCATCTTTCACTCCTAATTAAGCTGATGCTTCAGGGTTTATTGCTTATTTCCCATGCAGCAAAATACATACAGAGGTGTAATGTACTCAGTTTAAACTAAAACTTTTTCTGGATTGGAAACAAATAGTTCTTCTGGTCCTTGTGGAGCCTCTGCATTTGTTTTTTTACCAGATGTTTTATAATTTACAAAGAATTTCACAGTGCTTTATTACAAAAGGACAAACAAATCCTATTTTCCTTTCCTCTGTCTCTTCGGAAGTTCTGTGAACCAAGCAAACAAGATTTCTTCCAAGGGGATCTCCTGCAAGGAACTGAAACCTTTAAACATCAGTTTCCAAATGCCGCCATTCCAAGAAGTAATTGCCAGAAACTGGATAGCGGCACCAGCTTTGTGGGATCCTTCCAGGGAAAAAGCACAATGCTGTGACGAGCCTGGGGCATCAGCAAAGACCCACCTGGGGATGCACAGAGCAGCCCTGGGGCATCCCACGGACAACTCATTCCCCGCATGCCACTGTCTGGGGGATTCTGGCATCAGGGCTGGGTGCGAGGACTGTGACCTCCTCCCCCAGCCTCCACGTGTCACCCGGGGGGCACCCAGCTAGGTCCCCTTGGAAAGCAGAAGTCCAGTGGTACACACCCGGTGTGGGGGTGGCACATACCCAGGGGGAAGACAGAGAGCAGCGGGGCTGACAGTTCTGTCCTTGCTTCGTCTTTCCCCCAGGTCACCCTGTCTGCATGCCACCCTTTTTCCAAGGTGAGCCCCCCTGCTTCTGTCTCCCCCTTTGGACTCGATTTGGCATCTTCCTCCCTTGCTGTGGAGCATGGATAACCCTGTCTGCCTGCCTGCCTTTCTTTCTTTTCCCTTTCCTCCTCCCAGCCACGACTCATCTGACAGATTCATTTATCTCCCTTTCAGAAGTTCTCTGCGACAAATATTTCTGCCAAGGGTCACGTCCAGGCTGCCAGTGGCTGCTGTTGAGCTGGTGGTGAGAGCTGGGTGCTTTTCTTCCCCCAAGACACAGAGGGAGGAAGCCCTTGCTTTATGTGCCTTCAGGTTTGAGGCACTAAACCCAACCTCAAACTCCCAGTGGCCACAACAAATCTCAGTTCAGTCTGGGTTAGCAGTTAAAGGTGGGAAAGTTCACCTTGGAAGAGCAGCTGTTGTGGTAGCATGGATCCCATCCCCCCCACACAGCCACCGGTCCTGGGGCCCCCAGAACTGAGCATGGCTCAGGCAAAAAGGCAGGGCACGAGATTAATTTCCAAGTGTCTTCCCTTTTCCCATGACACTTCAAGGCAAACTGTGAGCCAATATGCAAAGTCCCTTCTACTCAGCTCATCTCAGGCCAGGGTTTCCACTTTTGCTGTCACCAGAAGGTCTCAGCGCAGAGTACTGAGCATAGAAAGACTCAGGACTCTTGCTGGGAGCAGATTTGCCTCCCTCAATCTAGCCTGTCAGGTGTAACTCAGTGTCACACATTTAGATTCCTTGGACTCATTTTTCTTTCCGAGAGGAATATGAAGGAAAATAAGCAGACGTCATTCTTGGAGCTCCCCAGTGGGCAACCAGCTGCCCGTCTCCTCGTCCCACCCCACAGCCACCCTCGAGCCCCAGCACGTCCCCTGGGTGCAGCCAAGGACGTACCCACAAGGTCAACGTTCAGCAGAGGCTCTACTTTCCACCCCAGCTGCTGCGTGGGGAGGTCTCGCCTCACGCCCTCGTGCTATGACCGGCCAGCTGGAGCCTCCTGAGGTGCCCGAGGCTCACTCAGAGGCCCTTGCTCTCCTTCCCTCCCTGGCAGGCACAGCTGAGCTCACCAGCCCCCGTGGCAGGCAGGGGGCTCATGGCTTCCCTTGGTGCCTCGGAGAAGGGCTGTCTGACCTCACAGGGAGAGCTGTCCTAACTACATGACACCACATAACTCTGGGTTACCACTTCTTCAATGCCATACGTTGAGATACATTGAGAAATAACAGGGCAGAGTGTAGTTTTAGGGAAGATGCTCTGAGACTCCATGAGCCTTCCGGGGAATCTTCTGAGAACAATGAAACATCCCCCGAGCACAGCAAAAATGCAAGGAGGCCTCAACCAATTTCTCGGACATGTTTAAATGCAATAGATCATTTATAATACCATTGTCAGGAAGTCAAAAAGTAATAGATACACTTCAATTAAGCGGGCAAGAACTGAGCCCCCTGAAGTGCAGTGAAGAACATAGTTTAAAACCAAGAAATCAGGTGACCCTGGCAGACATGGAAGCAGGGGAAATGCTCAATCCCCAGCAAAGTTGGTGGGGCCTGAGGGCTTCAAACAGAAACACTAAATAAAAATAAACACAAATAAAAATAAAAAATAAACAAAAGCACAAGACATGACATAAATATGTCAGCTTTAAAACAAGTTGTTCTTCACCTTTCAGGCACTTCATGGCTTTGCCCTCTCCTTGTCAGTCATCTCTCTCTCTGCTATTCAGAGAGCTGACGCTGCTGCCAAGCGCCCCGTGATGCCCATCTCCATATCCACATTTGCTGCGGGTGGGTGG